TTTTTATCCTGCTTGAAGGCAATACAGACAGCTAAACAGATTTCTTTCTGTTTAGAAATAAAATGAGCAGGACACGGCCTAGGTGCTTATAATTTTTTCGCCTTAGTAAAAATATCGTATTTTTTATATGAAACGTCTAAATTTAAAACAAAAAAAAAATGTTGTCCAATTTAAACGAGTGCATCTAAAATGCATTATTTGAGTTTTGAAACGCTGCGTTCAAACGTTCAATTTATTAAGAGGTAGGTTGTCAATAGAGACATGAAAGAGACTAAATATTTTGATCTGACTTTATACCCAACTCAACCCGAACCTTGAATATATTATATATTTCCGATCAATCCAACATAACAAAAATATATACAAAAAAATCCCCCCCCCCCCACCCCGAAAACTTTTCCCACTAAATATTTTTATGATAATGGGGGGAAAACAGCATAACAAAAGAACTCGACCAAAAAACTGCTGAAAAAATAACAGAAAAATAAACTGCGGATGGGGGATGTAAGGATTAAATAATTTTATATATATGATTTTAATGAAGTGGAAAAACATTAAGATAACTAACTGTTGGTAAATTGAAAGTTTAGATAATATTTTTGGAATAACTTTTTATTGACATATTAATTAAAAAGCAAACTCTCCTAAATATTATGGAAAAATTTAGCCAACATTCCAGAATTTTTACAGGACATCGGGAAATCTATGCGCCAGGAAATTATTTTATAATAATTTATATATTTTTATGAGATATAACTATATTGTCAACTTTCAATTTTTTAATATTATTTTTGATATAGTTTTCTTTGTCATTTTTAGAGTTAAAATCAATTAACGATTGTTTCAAAATATCTTGCATCAATTGTTATGCAATCGTATCATTATTAAATAAGCATAAATAAATACATTAACTCTTTAATTCTAGGCCATATATATTACCCTAATAAGCAAGGATCTGTAATGAAAAAAATTTTCATTGCTTTTTTAATTTTTTTAAAACTTTTAAAAGTTTAAATTTGATCATCAATTCTAATAATTTAAATATCTTATTGCAGATGACTGCCATATTGCTGCGTATTTATGTAATTTGAAGCATAGTAAAATTTATAAATTAATGATATCACCTCAGGTAAATCATATATGTTCCTTATATATTTTATTAGTTATTTGTATGAAATTGTACGAAATTAGAAAAAAATATACAATCATGCTTTGATAATTGATTTATGAAAAAAGAAGTAACAACCGAACGGTTTAATTCGGTGGGTTAGATTTTCGAGTTGGGTTGGGTTTAGCATATCTCTATCTGCCAATGTCACTTTAAATACGTGGTCTTTGGTTAACTATTATAAATTCTTTTTTCTATGGAAATATATCTTAATTTCGCGATTGTTATCATTATTAAATTTTTTTAACGTCTTTTTATACGATTCATGTCGACAGAGTTTGACGCATACTTATAATAACAAGTTTTTGTTTTCAATTTCATTTGATCTAAACTTGAAATTTTCTTTATCAGGAATTATGATCTAATCAGGTAAATTATTCATTATATAATTGAGAAAATACATTTTATAATCATATAAATAAATTTTTCCAAATCTTCCATATTACAATTCACGGCCATCTAAAACGAGAGGGGAGGGGGATCAATTAGAGCATTGAAAATTGATATATAGGAGGTGGGGAGTAAAATATTAATTCATTTTATAATATTTAATAATACTTTCCTTTATAATTCACGATATCAATAATTCAGATAATTTGACAAAATTCGAATAAATAATCTTTTATCCTTGAATCGAGATCTTTCAATAACTTTGAATTTTATACATTTTAGAAATAAATCTCATTAAAGTAATTAAAAACATATTATAAATTTATATAATTTCTCTTAATTTAAACTTTTTTATTAATAAATATTTGGAATTTGGAAAAGGAAAAAATACAATTACCTAATTTTCCGGTTTGGCTCGATGTTTGACGGTTTTTTTATTAATTTAGAAAACTTCATAATTTAGGGTTCACTATACTAGAATTTCAAAATTTTAATTTCCCGCATTTTTTATAATAACTTTATACCAATCAAAAATCACACTCATAGTGATTTAAGGAGAAAGAAAATGTCTTGTTAAAAAAAAGAAGTTAATATATCTAAAAATTGTCTTTTATTAAGCTTAGCTCCTGGGTCGCTCTCCGCGATCTTTTTAAGATCGCACTTATTAAAATTATATCCACGTTATATTCTCAAATTTTTATTTAAAAAATATAATTTTTTTTTTGAAGTTTGGAATGTCATTCTCGATGTTTTTATGTTAATTAAAAATAACTTGAAGGTTTTGATATAGATATTATAGAAGGAAGACTTCAAAAAAAAATTAATATTTACCCTTTCAAATTATTAACATCATCAGGTAAATATCTTTTCAAAAACTAGCTTGAAAAGTCGCTGAGTTAAATTTGATTAAAACTATATCACCTGGTACAAAGATTTTTTTTAAAAAATAGCCATTTAGTAAAGATAAAATTATTAACTGGGGTAAAAATAAAGAAGTTTAGTTATTAAAAATGGAGCCATTCACGTGCTAATTTTTTTTAAAGTACTAATGCAGGTTTTTTTTTTGATAATTAGCAATTTTTTAAATTACACTAGCTCACTTTTACTTTTTAAAAATAACAGTATCCCGCTTCTACTTTTTAAAGTAGCGACAACGGTTCTTCATTTAAAATTACAATGGCAGTATTTTCAGTGGTTCCTATACCGCCCCCCCCCCCCAGCTTATGCAGCAAAATACCTTTAAAAAAACACTCACCTAAATAAAAAGCATCAATATTTATAAGCTCCCCCCCCCCCTTCATTTTATATGCTCATATATAATATTTAAAAAGTCGCCTTTGTTACAACTAAAAATTCTGATTATTAAATTATTTGAAAAAAGAATTTTGTTAGTATTTCGAAGTCGAGATTTAATCAGCTTGATTTTGCTCATTACTCCTCTTCATTAATATTAATGGTATCACAGGCGCATACGGGAAATCTTCTAAGGGAGTGGGGGGGGGGGGTGGAATTAAATTTTTAGGGTTAGTCAAGAATATCTTATGCTTCAGAAATTTAAAAATAAATGTTTCGACAAAGAACTTTGTAAAAAAAATACATACACAAATATATTATTAAGAATTATTGCCCATATGTTACAATGTATTCATGAAAATAAATGGGATAGAATATTAATAAGCATAATATAATGTGAAATTCAATCTTCTTTGGGATTAAGCTAATCTTTCAATGATATCATAACACGTTCTTTCATTGGTAAAGTTCTAATGGGTAAAGTTACCTAGATATATAATAACTTTAATATATTAGAGAATAGTCTAAAATGTGTTTGAAATTATGCGAAGCATCTATAGCATTTTGGAACATTAACAACGATATTTAACCCTTTATACTATAGTTTGCATACAACTAGTAATGCATCATTAATACTTTAACATCTTCAGAATAATAACCTGATTTTGTAGTAATAATATTTGCAGATTTGTAAGTGCCACCTATTGAATCAAGAATCTCTCATTTATTTGAGTAATATAAGTATCCAAGAGCGAAATAGAGAAGTTTATTTTATACTATTCTTTGACTGACCTAGTGTTGTTAAAGGATTCGATTTTTAAAAATGTCTAACCCAATATTTTAGCTAAAATATATTACGCAAGCCTCGAGATTTCGTTATAGAAGCCCAAACCTTTCAGCGATCTAAGCAAAATCTCCAGGCTTGCGTAATATTTTTTGGGTAAAATATTGGGTTCACCGTTTTTAAAAATCTAACCGTTTAAGAGCATTAGACTGACCCTATATTAAGTTTGGAACGATGTACTTGCCTTGCTGCAATTCGAGGTAGACAAATAATAAAGTCATATACTCTGCCTTCGACTCAACAATGACATATCATTAGAAAAATATATAAAAATATGAGGTAGGGGAATAGTTTTAACTCACTGAAATATCATTCATTAAAAAAATGAAATCGATTTAATTAAGAAAAATTTCCTCATATCTAAAAAATATTTTATTTGTAATATTTTTCCAGGGTGGTGCAGGTAAGTGCCCTTTGCACCCAACTGCGGGATCTAAGATGGTAACGTGCTTCTTTTATTTTTAAGCAACGATAGTGGTAATGAACTTCTTCTTTTAGGGATAATGCGCTTTTTTTAAAAGTAAACGGTACCGGTAGCGCACTTTTTTTTAAACAAAAATTTAACTGTATCAAGTGCGCGTTTTTATAAAAAAAAATAACGGCACTGGTAACACGCTTTTTAAAAATAGTCGCGGTAACCATCGCGGACCCTTTTTTAAGCCTATGCATTTTTTTTATTTTTTAGCATATACATTTTGGGTAATTTGGATAATCATTTTATTAGGCTAAAAGATAATATATGCGAATGCTTAAAAATATACATTGTAGAAATAATTTATAAAAAATATTAATTTGCACAAATTTAAGCCAAAATATTATTATAAAAGTATATAATGGCTTAAAAATTTAGCGGATTATTTTTACCCTACACCCGTAAATATATTTTTTACAAGATATAAAACCAGGCCTGTAATTAACTTTTATGAAGGAAAACCGGGCCGACATAATTCATCAAAATATTTTACACAATTTGTCAGGCACGACCAAATAATATTATAAAAAAGTATATTCTATGCATTGGCAGGTACTCAATAAACTCACTGAATCTGATGAATGTTGATTTCTCATTGTTCGGATAAAAATTTACATAAATGTGTTGTTGGGATTTCAATATTCTTTGCATGCTTTTTTGTGGCCAAAATATTCGTGAATGACAAAAGTATCATTTTTTACAGGTCATTTAGGTTTGGTAAACTTAATAGTATAGTTCCAACCTATTTTTATTATGACGTCAACACAAAAAACTGTAAAATTCGACTTATAGATCCAAATGATAAAAGCATATTGAACTTTATTAAAATCAAGATGGAGCCCGTAATATGTTCTAAGATCCCAGCCCTTACAACCATTCGAAATGGTATATTGACAGTCAATTACGATGTCCTTAATCGATATTACAAAAATGTAAATATGGACTTTTGCAATTATCAGGTTATAATAAGAAATTATAACAAGAGTAATCGAGATGACGAGACCGAATTGGCCGCGGACAAAATTATTTTTAAAAATAATACTCTTGTAAAGGATGATTTTGTGTTAGTTAAGTGTTACAATAATAGTGGGAGAGACGTCTTCTACAGCAACACACATGCTAACGGAGCTATAGACGCGGAATCTTATCGCAAATATGGACCCCAACTGCTGACAAGTATTGATCCTAAGAACTACAGCATATTTTCCCCCTTTTTTGCTAGCAACAAAAGTAACCAAGTTAAGATTAATATGAGCCCAAATGTCATTAATGACACAGTTAGATTTTTTAATTATTCGCCTAATGATAATCAAATATTAAGCCTTCTCATGATTGGTATAGATTCAACTTCGAGATTAAATTTTCTTCGTGGATTATCCAATACTCGTCGGTACTTGTTGTCTCAAAGAACTGAGAGCTTCACGTTCAAGGGTTATATTAAAGTGGGAGACAACACTTATCCCAATATGTTGGCATTGTTGACTGGTAAATCATTGGAGGAATATCCCGAAGACTTTGGTGAAGAGGAATACTTCGATAACTGCAGCTTTGTGTGGAAGGCCTTTAAAAAGAGTAAAATTGACTATTCAACCGCTTATATAGAAGATAGTCCCAATATGGCCACCTTCAATTACTTCAAAAAAGGATTTTACAATCCTCCTACCGATTTTTATTATCGTCCCTTTTCATTAGAATCAGACAAATTGTCTGAAAAAGAGGAAAATTGCATACGGGATAAACATGAAGTACTAGCCTTGCTGGAATATTCCAGGGATTTGATGATCTCTTTTAAGGCTTGGCCTTACTTTTGCCTCACTTACACTAACAGACTGACCCACGATGAATTGAATGGCATTAAATTTGTTGATGAAATGTTGGTTAACTACTTTACAGATTTATTCAAGGCTAACGCCCTTGAAAACACACTCATCGTCATCTTCGGAGATCATGGCTTGAGATTCGGGGAATTCCGTGAAACCTATATAGGTACACTATTTATAACGATAAATTAATTAACTGAGGGGCCTAGATTATTAAATTTATTTTAATTGAAATGAAATGATCTATAACCTGTCGAGCCAACTCCAATAATTTTCGAGTCCCTTTATAAAAAAAATTTCTGCTTTAATCCGACTTGTAATTAATTCCTCTTTTAAATAACGGTAGTAATTAATTCCTCTTTTAAATAACGGTACATAACATCGGATGTTGTTTAGCATAGAGGATGTAGACCTGGGCTGAAGCAGAGCTGCATGGATTTAAATTCTAGCTTGAGTCAATTTATGACATTCTGGTCACACCCAAATATGGGTAGTATTGTTAGAAGTTAATAATTAACTCAATCTGCTATAACAATATTTAATCATAAAAGTATTACCTGAGCCTCAAGATTTTCTAAGAATAATTTCGAGATGTAGGTAATATTTTTTTTGGATATCATATTTATTCGAAAATTTTGACATTATCAGATTACAGGGGCCAACTGGTGAAACTACGGCTTCGTGGGCATTTTTTTATAGCGGCCTCATTTTTATTGGGGCTTCGCCCCCATACCTTTCTATTTTGCGGGGCTTCTGCCCGCTTTTACCCGGCCTTCGACCGGGTTCACTTATATGGCTTCTTCTAATTACATGATTTTTACTACCTCTTAATTTTGAAAATAAAACTATTAACATTTTCACGATAATCATATATTTTATTTAAAAAATGCACATCTAAATTATTCATTGCACATTTAAAAAAATATTCATTGTACATATATATTTTATATTATATTTACAACGATATTACACCATAAAATCAAATCATATATCACGTGTTAAATATAAAATAATACATACTCAATATATAAAATCAATTAATTACACATATAAAATTATTGCAATTATACAATTTTACACAAAGAATAAAATTGCTGCACTTAAAATCAGGCACCGATCATATTATAATAAGATTTAAATACAAGAATTAAGATAATATAATTTTTACGTTAATAAATCTCTCGCAAATAAACAAGAATATCTTCTAGTTCACTGCGCTAATAGCTTACATTCAACTGACATCATTAAAAATGCTTCTAATTTTTCTGGGCCTACATTAGCTCTTAACCTATTTTTTATAATTTTTAATTTAATAAATGTTCTCTCGCAATTAACATGCGTAAATGAAAAAGTTGAAATGTATTCATATTATAGATCTATAAAAGTAGGACCGGCCCGTACCCAGCCAGAACCCGGCTTGGCCCGAACGGGTCGGATGGGGCCTTAGAAATTTTTTAAAATATATCTAAATATATCAATTTTATGTTAAATTTTTTATGTAAAATAAAAATATCTGATTTTATTTATAGAAAGTAGACGCCAAATAACATATATCGTTTATTTTGAGTAATTATAAAAATTAATTTCTATATTTACATAAATTCGGGCCGGGCCGGACCGGCAAAACTTTATAAAATAAATTTCGGGCCGGGCAGGGTTTGAAAAATTAGGCTCGATGCAAATCACTAACTATAACACATAAATTATTTGAAAATAAATTTGATCAGAAATTTGTTTTATTATAATTATTATACCTGGGTTTTATTTAATTTCAATGAATTAAGAACAATAAATACAATTATAAATGTTGGCAAACAATAAATCAATATATAAAAATATAATATAATAAATTAATCAAAACTTAGTTTTCACTCTACTCAAACTCAAACGGAAGCGTTTTCGCTTCATTTGGAAAAAAAAACAAAAAAAGCAAGTGGTAATGATGTATAGCATCAAGCGACGTTATTGATATTTTATGCATTAAAATATAGTAAACGACAATTCTCAAGGAATGTGATATTCAAATAATATCGATATCATTAAAAATAAATATATGAAGAGAAAATAATGTAAACATAATAATATTTTTTTTTCTAATCGGCCTCTTTTTTGATATTTTCTTCTGATCGGCCTCAAATCGACTTTTCTCGCGGCCTCATGGGACAAATGCCCACCTGGTCTTATGGCCAGTCCGCCCCTGTCAGATGAATTGTTGATGGTTTATATTAAAAAATGCGTGTATAAAATAAAATTTGATTGTTATATATTAAATTGCAGAGACCTGCACGCAGGGCCGGGGCTTTAATTTTTAAATATACCAGCGTCAGGCAAAAAAAAAATTTTTAAATACCTGGGTTAAAATAAATGTAATATATTTTTAAAAAATCTGGGCCAGACGGAGCCTAAAAATATAAAATTCAAGCCTGGCGGTGCAAATGGTACCTCTATAGGTCACTGATAAATGGTTTTATGTTGATCGACGACATTATATATCATTTTTATTACCTCTTTTTTAGGCCAACCTATATGAATTTATTTTTATTTTTCCATAAATTTTTATAATAAAAAACTTGTTGCAATTTTTTTTTAGTTTTATACTTCAAAATTTGTCAAAACAATATTTTTATGTTCTCCAAAATACCTGCCCCCGCTGAGTTAATGGGGTTAGTAAATATTAGACAATAGGGAAGGCGTGCAAAACCCACTGAAATGAGCCAAAAATTCTATGATTCGAGAAATCCGGGCATGGCTGAGTTTAAAATTTTTAAATATTAAAATCAGAAATTAATCAGTTGTAATATCTTATAATGCAGCATTTAATATTCATTTACTGCTCATATTATATTTTCTATTCTTCCTTCAAAAAATTTTCAAAATACAGTCAAAATTATTAAAATAACAAAATAACGATATTTTAGGAATTCCAGGCCGGACCGGGCCGAAAAATTATCAAAAATAAAAATCCAGGTCAAGACTAAAAATCTCGTAAAATTATATTTAAAAAATAAGAATTTTGGGCCAGGGTTAATCATGATTATTTTTTAGGGAATTTTGATCATTATTAATACGAATTTTAATGCTGGTAATTATTCTGTTTATGCATTTATTTAATATGTCATATAATTCCAAGTAGGGGAGACCGGGGACAGTTTGTCCATAAAAAATTGAAGTGCTATAAAAAATAGACAAAGCAATTTTTCTAAAATGTTTTAACGTAATTTTAAATTAATATTTAAGAAAAAAATCATTTAGTTTTTAATTAATGCGAAATTTAAAAAAATGAAAATTTAAGTTTTATGAAAAATACCCGAGGTACCTATTATCCTTTCACCATATATGTAATAGCGCTTTTTATTTTTAGATTTTTAAATTTTTTTATATAAAGGTGTTGATTCTAAGTAAATAAATAAAATAAATTGTCAAATATGTTAAATTTATTAGGGTTCATCTATATCACATATATCACCCGGAAGTATTTGTTGTCACTTAAATCTGTCATATAGTTACAAAAAATAAGTCAATCATCTTCATATTGTCATTAGTGTTCCTAGACACTAGTAACTTCTAATGTTTTTATAAATTTAGTTGGATTTTTTTTTATTCAAAATAATCCCTGCTTAAAAATGGCTAATACGTACCCCGCCAAAATCTGCCCCAGGTCTTCACAATTAATTAAAATTTAATTTTAGATATTAAATTATCATAAATTGTGTCAATATTTTTATATATGATAAAATATATATTTCTTTGTCATATAGAATTAATATTAATTAACGTTTATAAAAAAGTTATTAGTGAAAATGTAAAATTTTAAAAAGTTACTTTTGGTATGTTAAAATTTAAATTTGCATTTAAAATTTTTCATGAGCAATTTTGCCAAAATCATTTTTGGATCTATTTAAGCACCTTATTAAAATACATATTTGGCTTAAATTTTAAAACCTAAGCTTTATTAATTTTTAAATTATTCAAGAAGGAAATACCTACCACGGGAACACACTATCCACAGTCTCCCCTATTTTTCTAACAATGTTTAAGATATAAGCTTAATTTACAACTATTAAATGGACCAATCAGAGAAGTGGACGAATTAACGATTAAACTTTACAATCATAGTTAGTCAGATCATTTTTTTTTAAATAAGTTGTGCAGAGCTTGTGGCATTTTGTTTAATGTTAGCTTGTGCTCTGAATCTACAATTTTTTAAATTTTGCTTAACTTAACTTTTTTTTCTCTAAAATTTTACTAAAAGACAAATTTATACCCTTATTCCAAGAATTATGTAAAAATATTTGCTATTTTTGAGATCAGAAATAATTTAAAAAATTTGTTTTCAAAAATTATTATTTATAAATTTTATAAGGAAAATTAGGTCCAAGGGTAAAAATTTATCTTTTTCGCGCATAAAACTTTTATAATTTTAACCCCATATTTATATAAATGATTATCGAGTAATATGAAAATAATTTTTACTTGAAAAATTGCCCATCATTAAAGTAGACTCTACCCATCAATGACCCTTTTGACTCGGATATGGCTAAAATTACCAGGGGTAAATTTATTCCTGCAAATCTTCTATTTAAAAAAAATTATTACTTTCCTTTATAATTTAAACTAATGATGGTTATAACAAGTAAAACGTATTGTGTGAACTAAATAATTGTTTTATAAGTTATGACGTTAGGAAAGTGCAGAAACTGTATAATGAAACGAAAAAAAAAGTAATATTTGTATAATACTAATTTTTCCAAATTTGAAGATAGTTTAAGGTTAAAAAATTAAGGTGGACGAGCATTCATGAAGTTGATATATTGACTGTGAATTATTATTTTAGATAACCATTTTTTAAAGGAATGCTTTTTTTTCTTAGATAAATCGTTATTTGTTCGATATCTCGCAATAAAAATGTGAAAAATTATATTATAATTTTTTGTAAACAATATTCAATATTATATATGTCAGCGTCAATGTGTTTTCAGGCAATGTGTTATTTTTTCAAATTTGAATCAATTTTTTGAGCACGTTTTTTTTAAATTTAAAAATCTTTTTTACCAGAATGTATTCCATCATGTTTGAAATACCTATCTTATAAGTTTTAGGCAGTTTTGTAGTAAATTATAATTTGTACAAATTATATTTAAGTTCAAACGTTTATGACAAAATTGTTTTAAATTCAAAGGGTAGGCATTTAAAACATGATGGAATGCATTTTCGGTATAATTAGATTTTTAAATTTAAAAAACTGTGCTTAAAAATAGATTTAAAGTTGAAAAGAAACATATTGTCGGAAAAAACGTCTAAAAAAACACATTAAGGCGAATATATATATACTAGATGCTAATTTAAAAATATCAATGCATTATAATATTTTTTACTCTAACCTTTTAATCTAATATAAATGTAAAGATAGAGTGAATTGTATTTACTTTATGGTCCAATATATATAAACTTAAATATATAATAAATTGCTTACATATAACTCTTTTAATCTAAAGGATAAAATAAAACTATTTAACTAAAAACGCTGCAGATAAATTTCAAATATTTTCTCCTATAACGCACGATATTTAGAATCTCCCCTAAATTTTGCAGTTAAATCATATATATATTTTTTCTTACTTATATGGATATTAGAATTACAAATGCCATAATTAAGAACATGTAAAAGTTTATTATAAGATATGATCCTTAGTTTTTTAATACTATAACTGATTAAAGAGTAATTTCTTTTAAAATTCTATGAAATCTAGCGAATATAAGGTATTAGTTAATTTATTTCTGAATATTTATTATGTATAGTATATAATATATTAAAAGGTATGATGGAAGAACGCTTGCCGTTACTTTTTGTGTTGCCTCCAGCTTGGTTCTTGTCTAAATACCCTTCAATTCATTCAAACATGAATATTAATACTGAACGTATTTTGACACCTTTTGACGTTCACAAAACACTTTTACATCTGATTAAACTAAACGAACATGGGACATATATTGATTCAAATATGAGTGAAGATATTCGTGGTTTTAGTTTTTTCGAAGAAATCCCATTTAACAGAAGCTGTGAATCGGCAGAAATCCCGTTTCATTATTGCCCTTGTAATTTGATTGGAGGTGGGTTAGCCGATTCAAAAAGTAAGAAATTTGAAATTGGGGCTCAGCTCATAGTAGCCAAAGTCAACGACTTATTAAAACCATTTCATGACAAGTGTGTGACCTTGAAATTAAACCATATAGCGGTTGTTAGGATATTCAGTATAAACGGCCAAGATTATAACCCTAATTATACTATCGATTTCCATAATAATAGCTATAATTCTATTCGATCTTCAAATTTTCGATTGTTATTAACTGTAGAAGTTGAGCCAAGTGAGGCTTTGTTTGAAGCCTCTCTAAAGTTTAATTCTATAACGCAGTCGTATGATAAGATCGTAGGAGACGTTTCACGGATAAACAAGTATGGTAATCAATCATCATGCATAATTGATCAGGCTATGAAAAAATTTTGTTATTGTAAATCCAATTTAACCAATGACACCGTGCTCTAGATAAAGGGCATTCATAAAAATAAAATTATCAAATTATAATAAAATTATATCAATATCCATGCGTAATATGTAAAAATTTTCTATGGGTTGGAGATTTAAATGTTATGTTAAATAATGATTTTTGCTATGGTTCAATAAAAAAATGAATGATTTGATGAGTTTTAAAATAAAAAATGCTATATATGAAATATATTATATTTTAAATAAATGTTATTTCTTATTATTATATGTATATGCTATATAAATTAATAAATATTATATTATAAAATTATTATTTTTCAATAAATGCTATGTTTATTAAATTAATATATTTTATAAAAAAATGTCTTAAGACCCCCAAATCGAATTTTTAAATCTTAAAAATTTTTAAAAGTTTGCACAGTTCTGAAAAGTCTTATGATTTAGAGGTTTACTGACACTAAATATAATTTAATTTCTTTTCATCTCACATATTCTAGGTTCATATGTTGCAACTTTCCCGGGTTTATTCCTATTTTTCTTTTTAAAATATGCATATCTTTATATCATTTCCGTTAAAATTGGCCGAACATTTGGAAGCACTAAAGAAACTGTGAGCCTTTATTTTAAAAATTTTATTATTGTTTAGTGTTTAATGCTAAACCGTTTGGTAGATAGAATTTTTTAAAAAAGTTAAAGTAAAAATATAACAAACTGCCAAAATTAGCATCATGTTAGAAAGGAAAGATATACACTGTGTTCCAATTTAATTGATACCCCTGTCAATTTTGAAAATGATTTAATAGAATTTTATAAATAGAGAGTGGGATAAATTATCAAAACTTTCAGTAAATTATATTAGTTTCTATCAACCGGGTCCAAAGTTATGCACATTCAAAGTTTGACATCAAAATTCGAACTTTCCAACATGTAAATAATCATTTTTTATTTTTTTTATTAAACTTTACAATTCGACAAAAACATGAAAACATCAAGATTTTAAATTAATCTGTCTAGTGTTATTAAACGGCTCAATTTTAAACGGGTAACCCAATATTTTAGCCAAAAATATTATGTAAGCCTAGAGATTTTGCTCATAAGCAGTAGAAAGGTTTGGTTTTTGGCTAAAATATTGAGTTAGCCGTTATAAAAAATCCAGCCGTTTAACAACACGATTTGAGTCAACGTTTGTACTAGCGATTGATTGGCCGCAACTTGTTTTTTTCTCATTGAAACGGAGCATACACCCGATATTCTACAGATTTACCGGTGGAGTTACTGTAAACAGTTTTTTATCCGTGAACAATATGAAATGAATTAACCTCTAAGAGTATAACCTAGAAGTTGTTTGTTACGTACCACAGGGGAAATCTTATTTGTATCGGGTAGGTATTGGCGTGTTTCTTTTTGAATATGTTAGCTACAGATCTTTGTGGATAAAGATGCACTGAAGTTTGTGAAATACAATTTTCTGGGGATAGTTATACTTGACTGGTCAGTCTCATTGGCTCAAAATGAGTATTTTAATAGAATCAACATTTCCCATAGTACGAGCTATGCGTGATACTTTAGACCTGCAAAATGTTCCAAAAATGTTTACACCAACCTTTTTTCTGATCCGGTAGCATCTATTTTTATCAATCGATTCAAAGCTGCAATAGTCCAATATCTTTAAGAAATTTCTTCAAAAATATTTGGCTACATAATATTTTCCTTGTCTTAAAATTTTAATTAAACTCAAAATATTCTTATTGAAAACCATTTTTTTAAATTATCGTCTACTAAAATATAAAAATTAATATAAATAAATAAATTTTTACATGTTGGAAAGTTCGAATTTTGTTTGTCCAACTTTGAATATGCATATCTTTGAATTTATTGATAGACTTTGATAATATTTGCAGAAAACATTGATAATTTATACCTCTCTCAGCCTTTAAAATTTAATTTGATTATTTATAGAATTGACAGATTTATTGCTAAAACAAAGGTGGTTCAATTGGAACAGTGCAGAAAAACTAAATATTTGGGTTGCATTGATATTTAGTGCTTAACTCTTAATTCTTCAATCAATCTGGCTAGCCACAAAAAAAAGCAATTCATTACAAGCCACATAAAAACCATGTTATTTAATTCTTCAATCAATCTGGCCAGCCACAAAAAAAGTAATTTATTGCAAGCCAGATAAAAACCATGATATCATGCCAGCGTGAAGTTTCAAAATTTTGCAAGCATTAACTGAAATTTATGTCAATAAATTACATATTTAGTATATTTTAGTGCTTCAAACTATTTGTTAGATAGTCTTAAGAAAAACGCATTATTGGTAAAAAAAAATATATATATATGTCGTAATTTTTAAAGGGATCATGACCATCCGGGATCTTCACGGGATTTTAAGGGATAACTAAAAAATTAGGGTTTTAAATTAAGGAATGATAATACGGGGATTATCACGTTTTAATCGTGATAAAGAGGAATCTTATTTTAAAAGCGTTTTCCACCAGTTTAGTTGCGTTTTTTAATTTTCAATTTCGTTTTTTTGGCCTTATGATATAAGATATGTCTAGTATAGGATATCAATCTATAGCTAATCAAAAGATCTATTCAACTGGAGGTCAATCTCTGCCCCATAATGGGCGGTCTAGGGGGTAGGGGTGGGGGGGGGGTGTGTTAAAAATATTTTTTTTTGATATGGGTATCAATCGATAGCTAATCAAAAGATCTATTCAACTGGAGGTCAATCTCTGCCCCATAATGGGCGGTTTAGGGGGGGGGTGTAAAAATAATTTTTTGATATGGGTATTAAATAAAAGCTAATTTTAATATGGTTTGACTGAAAGTCTTTATTCTTGGTCTTGATGGGTATGACTTGGTCTGGGGGGGGGGGTGTTGGTGGGGTGTAAAAAATATTTTTTTTTGATATGGGTATTAATCGATAGCTAATCAAAAGATCTATTCAACTGGAGGTCAATCTCTGCCCCATAATGGGCGGTCTAGGGGGGTAGGGGGAAGGTGTAAAAAATAATTTTTTTGATATGGGTATTAAATAAAAGCTAATTTGATGGGTATGATTTGGTCTGAAAATTGGAAATATAATATTATGGAAAGATAATTATACTACAAACTCGATTGGCAACAGCATCAAAAATATTCTACCTTCGTTCATTTCATATTTAATAGATAGGAAGAAGCAAGAGAATGCTTATAAGAATAAAATCAAAAAGATAAAATTTTGCATTGGGGATCACGCACTAATCCCAATAAATAAAAATGATAGATCTAATCTATGCCCCAAAAATATTGAGGCCGAAATTATACAAATGGAGGGCGAGAAATTATGGGTTGGAACTAATTTGGGGAAAATTGATTCCCCATTTTTAAAAACGAACATTCATAAATCAATAAAATTTACCAATTTTACCATTCATAATAAGACGATCTCCATAATAACAGCATCAAGAAGTACATCTTCTTATGGTAGTTTTGAATCAATTTGCAATTGCCAAAAAAGTTGCAACAATAAGAGGTGTCAATGTTTTAAAAATGGCATTAGTTGTTCCACAAAATGTCACTTAAATATTATTTGTGTAAATAATAAATAATTGTTCATATATTTTAAATTAATTATCGAAATCAATAAAATATGTTGTTGATTATATGGCTTGAAAGAAAATATTATAATATAGATGATTTGCTTATAAAGAAGTGCAATAATTTATAACTGCAATAAGAAAAATTTATAATGTCATTTTAAAATTTGTGAATCGATGGTTTCAAATATAGCCGAAATTTTGAGATTTAAAAATATTAAAAACCTCATTAAGTTGCTAGCAAATAATTTTATCATTAGGCTACAATGAGTTTATAAATAGCAATGATTATATTTAACCCCTGCTTATAATTGTATTTAATAATGAAGTCTAAATGTATTTAACTTTTATTTAATACCCATGTTTATGTTCTGTTTAATTACTATTTATTAGATATCCATAAAAATTCACTATTTTATGGCCAGTTGAAATATAGTATGTTTAGACTAGGCCAGAAAATCAACTTTCACCTAACTCATCTAACTCAAAAACTATTATAGATGCTCTAATTTTTTTTAAAGATTAAGAATTGAGCTATACATTGATATTAATTTTTGGTTGATATATTACCTTTAAATGTTTTCTCAAGTTGAAGCCACTAGTTTTGTTTGATGATAAAACCTCCCACATCTTACAGCAAATATATATATTGTGTTAATTTTTTTTTATCGAGATTAAAATAATTTGTGAATTAAGGAAAAGGAAATTCCATATCATCATCATTTTCAAGGGATATTCCTTTGTCGATATGATCTGTACCAAAATTACTTTCATTATCATACTATACTTTCGACATTTAAAATATTTTATTTTTTTGAAAATTTTTTTTGCAAATTTTTAAATGTAAATTTATATTTTAAAATAAAATAAAATTAAAAGATTATGATTTTAGAATTAATTATAAAATTGTTATATTAATTTTTGCTATTTATTTAGTAACGAGCTACCGTTATATCTCTTTTTTAAAAAATGTTGCACGCTAAAGATATCGATACTAAAAAAAATAGCTATGGAATATCGTGCTAATATAGAACACTGCATATTATATATTTCAAGTTCAGGATTGGAACCGAAAAAAGATTTAAAAAATTGTTTTATTTTCATTCTCTTTTATTTCTGTAAATTCTATATAACTAGACATTTTGTTAGTCATACCTATCAAGACCAAGAATGAAGACTTTCAGTCAAACCATATTAAAATTAGCTTTTATTTGATACCCATATCAAAAAAATTATTTTTTACAGCCCCCCCCCAGATTGCTTATTAAGGGGTAGAAATTGACCTTCAGTTGAATAGATCTTTTGATTAGCTATCGATTGATGCCCATATCAAAAAAAAATATTATTTAAACCCCCCACCCCCTCCAGGCCGCCCATTATGGGGTAGAGATTCACCTCCAGTTGAATAGATCTTTTGATTAGCTATCAATTGATACCCATATCAAAAAAAATTATTTTTTACACCCCCCCCCCCACCCTTACCTCCTAGACCGCCCATTATGGGGCAGAGATTGACTTCCAGTTGAATAGATCTTTTGATTAGCTATCGATTGATACCTATACCAAAAAAATACACCCCCACACCATCCAGACCGCCCATTATGGGGCAGAGATTGACTTCCAGTTGAATAGATCTTTTGATTAGCTATCGATTGATACCCTATACTAGACATATCTTAACACATAAGGCCAAAAAAACAACATTGAAAATTAAAAAACGCAACGAAACTCGTGGAAAACGCTTTTAAAATAAGATTCCTCTTTATCACGATTAAAACGTGATAATACCATATATAGTTCTTTATCCTTTAAAAAATTGAAATTTTAAAGGGATCACTTTAAATACCGTGAAGATCCCGGATAGTCATGATCCCTTTAAAAATTACGACATATATATTGCTAAGATTGGCATCATGAAGAAAAATTATAAAAGCACTGAACATCTAAGTGAGCCAATGTGTAATGCCTGATTAGTACTTACTAATTTATCAATCAGTTTTTTAGTCAAATAAAAACCAGTTATAAGCGAAATAAAAATTACGACATACCTAAAGCTAAGTCTTAAATATTGGATTTCGATTCAAAAATTAATTATATCTTAACAATACATTCATTGAGGTTCCCTTTTCCTCGATTTAAAATATTTATGAATCTTATGATTTTATGATCTTTATAGATATCTTTTGTTCTCTTTGGTTAATAAATAAATATAGAAATATTATATTTTGAATCTCATTATATTTTGAATAAAGTTATATTTTCAAAAATTTGTTATAAATCTGATTAATGCTAGGATGCAGTTCTAAACATGAAGTTATCCAAACTTTTGAAAGCACAAGTTCTAAAACTTAGGCCAATATGGTAATGCTTAAATAGTTTATATTTTAATTTTATTTTCAATCCGTTTGGTAAACAATATAGATAAAAAGGTTATTAGCAAAGATTCAAGATAGAAACGAAGAACCTTGATTTTTTTAAAATTACTCAAAGATTTGTTGAACCCACCTGATTATGTAATATTAAAAAATAAAAAATAAATTTTTAAATGTAAGTACATCCTGTTTATTCCGCCTGTAAAATATTCAGAATTCACCCATCCTCCCGTTTTTTAAAATATATTTAATCCGACCAACGTTCAATGTTCAAATTTTTTAACCCTCTCGCTGCAGGTCTTTAGCTCTGATTGACCCTTTTAAAATTTATATTTAACCCTTAGCCTCGCCAGGCTTGAATATGTATCTTAAAGAGAAAGCCTTCCCAATTTTTTATTTATTTTTAAGCCTCAGCGCCTGACCCCAAATGTTTGATTGAAAAATATAAATTAGACACAATTATATAAAATTAAATATAACAAAAATGATAATTGTTCTATATTAATCCCAGAGATTAATTTAATTTATTTTAACATTTTATTTTTTGAATATTTTTTTAAACCCGAATCAGCCCAATTTTAAAAAATTTTTAAGCCCTAGTTTGGAACATAGTTGCAAGGACAATTTTCAATTTATATAGGCACTGTCAAAATTGTTTAAAAAAGGCTCTTATTTCGAAACTATATAATGTGGAGATTAATTTTTAAATCCTTCTATCAGTGGATTTATCACTTCCTCCTTTGCTAACCTCCTGTTAGCCGAAGCCCAAACCATTGGGATAATTCTGTAGTACTAAAACCTCTACGACCTTTCTAGTGTTCCCAGAAAGATTGGGAAATTTCACTCAATGAAGGCCCCGTCGCTTATCTAAAATGGAGCTTTCACGATGACGATCTCACAGTTTTCCCCCACTTGAACCAAGGATACAGTTACGAGTTTCTGGAGACTATACCCTCCAACAACTCGATTTGCTGCTATTCAAAGATGGGGCCAAAATTTCCTATTAGATTTAAATGTAAACATTGTGAAACCAGCATATGATTTTACAAATATTTACATTCAATGACACTGATGATATGATGATATTCCAACTATTTCTGGAAAGTTGAACCTGATACTGACTCCTTTGCAGGTTCATTGCATCATTATTTTATAAACTTTTTTTAGTTTTTATTTTAAAAAACAGGCCCTGTCTTAACCCCTTTAATGATTGTACAAATTTTTATTAATCTGTCGTTGCCAATCAAAGAAAGAGATGGCTGTTAATCAGCTAAATAAACTTTCCAGAGATCATGAAATCCAACAAATTCTGTCACCTATACAAAATAAAGTTAGTCACTTCTCTTTTTTTCTTTTCCTTCTCATTTTTATTTCCCACCTTCCCTTTTCCTTTTTCCTTTTTCTTTTCCGTTTTGCTTTACATTTTCATTTTTCTTTTCTATATCTTTTCCCCTTTTCTCTCCCTTTCCCTTTTTCTTTCTCTTATTCTTTTTCCTACCTTCTCCTCTTTCCTTCCCTTTTCATTTTTTTCTTCTCCTTTTCTTTCCCCTTTTTTCTTTTTTTCCCTCTTTTTCTTTTTCTTTTTCCTTTCCCTTTTCTTTCTTTTCTTTTCTTTTCTTTTCTTTTCTTTTCTTTTCTTTTCTTTTCTTTTCTTTTCTTTTCTTTTCTTTTCTTTTCTTTTCTTTTCTTTTCTTTTCTTTTCTTTTCTTTTCTTTTCTTTTCTTTTCTTTTCTTTTCTTTTCTTTTCTTTTCTTTTCTTTTCTTTTCTTTTCTTTTCTTTTCTTTTCTTTTCTTTTCTTTTCTTTTCTTTTCTTTTCTTTTCTTTTCTTTTCCTTTCCCCTTTCCTTTACATTTTTTCTTCCCTATTCCTTTTTCTTTTTTTACCTATTCACTTTTTTGCTTTTTATTTTCCTTTTTCTCTATTTTAATTTTGCTTCTCTTCTTTCCCCTTTTCTTCATTCTCCTTTTCCTTGCTTTTTTTCTTTTACCTGTGCTTTCCCCTTTTTTCCCCCTTTCCATACTTTCCCTTTCTACCTTTATTTCCCTTTCCACATTTCTTTCCCTTTCCACATTTCTTTCCCTTTCCACTTTTCCCCCCTTTTTTATTTCTTTCTTTTCTTTTCTTTTCTTTTCTTTTCTTTTCTTTTCTTTTCTTTTCTTTTCTTTTCTTTTCTTTTCTTTTCTTTTCTTTTCTTTTCTTTTCTTTTCTTTTCTTTTCTTTTCTTTTCTTTTCTTTTCTTTTCTTTTCTTTTCTTTTCTTTTCTTTTCTTTTCTTTTCTCTTCTTTTCTTTTCTTTTCTTTTCTTTTCTTTCCATTTCCCCCTTTTTTCCCTTTTTCTTTTCCTTTCTCCCTTTTTTCCCATTCCCCTCTTCCCTTTTAATTTTTTTTTTAATATTCCCTTTTCCTTTATTTCCCTTTTAATTTCTCTTATTACCTTCCCCTATCTTCTCTTTTCCTTTTGCTTTTCCTTTTCCTTTCCCTTTCCCTTCTCCTTTCTCTTTCCCTTCCTTTCCCTTTTAATTTCTCTTATTTTTCCTCCTTTTTCTCTTCCTCTTTAATTACCCTTTCCTTTCTTTCACTTTCCTTTCCCTTTCCCCTCTTCTCTTTTAATTTCTTTTTCATATTCCTTTTTCTTTTTCTTTTGCTTCCTTTCCCTTTTAATTTCTCTTATTACCTTTGCCTTTCTTGTCTTTTCTTTTTCCCTATAATTTTTCTTTTCATTACCATTTTCCTTACCCTTTCTTCCCTTTTCCCTCTTCTCTATTAGTTTCTTTTCTCCTTTTTCTTTCTCCTTTCCTTCCTTTCCCTTCCTTTCCCTTATAATTCCTATTATTACCTCCCCCTTTCTTCACTTTTCCTTTCCCATTCATTTTTTCTTTTACTTTTCCCTTTTCTTTCCCTTTTCTTTCCCTTTTTCTTTCCTTTCTCCTTTTTTTTTCCTTACCCTTAAAAATTATAAAATCTTGCATATATCTTCTAAAAATTTTAAAGGTAATATTGAAAATAATATTAATAGATGGTAGAAAGTCAACACTCGTATTCAAAATGTTTACTTATTTCCCTAATTTTTAGCAATTTTTTAAAAAAACTAATTTAAATACAAGAATTTACTTAATATTTATTTCAAATTTACCTAAAAAATTTCCAGGATATATTAGCAAGATAAAATTTTTTTGTTTTTAGCTATTTTTATTTTAACCATTTAAAACGAAAACCTTGCCCTTTTTCTTTCTTTTACATCTTTTCTTTCCCTTTCACATTCTACTTTTCATTTCTCTTTCCTTTCCTCTACCTTTACTTTGCTTTCTCATTTCCCCAATTTTTTTACCATTTTCTTTACCTTCTCCTTTCCATCTTTTACCTTTTCCCTTCGTTCCCCTTTTCTTTTCATTAACCTTCCTTTCCCCAAATAGATAATACTTTTGTCATTGCCAAATAAAGAAAGTGGCATCAACAAAATAAACGTTCGAGAGGTGAAACCTAACAAAATCAACCAACCATACAAAATAAAGTAGTCATCTATATATATATATATATACTAAAATGCATCAATGTTTATTTATCTTTATGCGTACAATATTTTTTTAAATATATTTTTCTTATACTTTCCTACATTTTAGATATCATCTATTTTAGCTTTAAAAACATATAATTTTATTCCCACGAGTGCTAGAGAGTTGAACCTAATATTGACGCTTCTGCAGGTTCAATAAATTATTTTATAAATTTTTTATTTTGTTTTTATTTTACATAACTGTCCCCATTTTTCCTCTTTATAATTGTTCAGATATTGATTATATCTCCATTAATAATGAACAAATATAAAATAAACATTCAGAATATCATGATAGACATGATAAGTACCTAACTAGACAAAATATATTTTTTGATGTCCTAACTATTAGAGATATGCATCTAATATTGACCCCTCTACAGGTTCAGTAAAGTAGTTTATTCGATTAATTTCAATAATAATGTTTATTAATATTTTTGCCTGGTTTCTTTATTTTTCTAGGGTAGCCCAACCTTAATCCCTCACATTGCTACAAAACATGATGAATCTATTATTTAAGATAATCGAAGAAAAAAATGACGACTCAGCAAACGCTTTGCCTGTTCTAGAATTATTGGTAGCCAGGATAACAAGGAGCTGCGCCTGATTTTAATTCCCCTGCAGGTTTTTTATATTTATTTTATATTTACACAGTGGCCTCCAAATGATATTTCTATCACCACTACCACAATCCCTATGCCATCTATACCAAGCATATTTCGAAATATATTATGTTAGATATCAGCAACATTACAGAAATATGCGCCATCGATGCTAAATATGGAATGATGAAAAATTATCAAAAGGCTCAAATGAAAAAATTCAATTTTCTACATGTTGCATAAATGGGAAGGTAATTTTATCAAAATTTTTCCCTTCTCCTTCAAATTTAATACGTTATTTACCGGTGAGCATTGTTAATCATCCTACTTTTATAAATATAAAAACATTTAATTCTGCACTATCATTCACCTCTAGGAGTTAATATAAATAATTCGTCCAAATCTCGCCCCGATAACTATACCTTTCAAGTTAATAGACAGGTTTGTCATCGCATTGGTTCTCTCCTACCAACATTAAGGAACACACCTAAATTTGCCCAAATATATATATATGATAGTAAAAATAAGATAAAAACAGGCATAATCGGGTTCCTTTTTAGATCGTCATCTTTTAATTGAATTGCATTAAATTAATTCACAGATATAACCCCTTTACTTTTTAATTTATGAGAGTAGCTTCGATGATCATTAATAACTTTCCTAACATATCTTAAGCCTAAAATCTACTTCAAGTTTTGACATATGTTGTCTGAAATAGCGGTCAAAATAATATACATTATTATTTTTATTATTTAAATAATATTATATAGGATTTTATCTCGATTCCAAAAAGACGATATACATTATTTTTTTTATTTAATTAAAATTTTATATCTATTCTTAAGGATCATACCTTCTTCAACAATATTCCCATTTATTCCTTCTAATTATTTTGTATAATTCAATAAAAAAGACGATACGGAGTTTTCTATTTTTATTATTTAAATAGGATTTTACATTTATTCCAAAAAAACAATACATAATACGATATTTTTATTATTTAAATGTTATTCTAAATCCAAGTATCTTAATTTTTTGAAGTTTGCCAATTGGTCTCTCTGAATAATACTTTATTTTATTCATGTTAATTATTTGTAAAATTCATCGTTCACTATTTTTATTATTTAAATCCGAAAAGAAGAATACATAGTATGATTTTTATATTATTTAATTAAAATTATATATTCATTCTTAAAGATTCTACCATTTTTAAAGATTATCTATATTGGTATCCTCGCACAATATTCCCCTCTATTTTATTTTACTCAAATCAGATAAGGACGATACTTGGTATGCTAAATTTATTATTTAAATAATATTATATATCTAATCTTAAATATCCTACCTTATAAAAATAACTTGAGAATTGGTTCCCGAACAATATTAGTCATGCTTACTATTTTGAATAATATTAGTAAATATTTCTATAATTTTTATTTATCATTGTTCCTGCTCAATAAATAAGCTATTGATAATACACTCATTTATATTATGGCGATACAATAATTTTTGTTTAATTTACCTACTCTACTCTATACCTATATTGTATTTTAATTTTTTATAAAACATTTACTCATGTTTGTGATTCATTACTATTTGTTACTCACCACTAACTCATGGCTATCTCTGATTCCGTACCATTTATAATTCTCATGCTACACTCTCCCCAGTCGAAATCCGGGCTAGGGCGACACCCTAGTATATTAATTATTACAAATTTATATTCATTAAAAAGGAATTTTAAAAATTAAAATTTCCTTGATCCACGTGAAATTTTTATTCATAGGGTTAGGCAATCAGGCCTGACAAAAATTTTGAGAAGACCCATCACACTCAGTCACGCCTAATAATTTAAAACTTATTCACACTCACGCATTGGCCCATCGTGTCACGCGTAATTTCGCGGTCCGCGCCTACCTATAATATATATTTTATTTTTAATAATTTTTGATTGGTATTTATTTAACAAATTGTATTTAGAAAATTGCTATATGTTGACTTGGTAGTATCTATCATTAACACAAGGTGATGAAGGATTCTCTTATTATGAATAAATAAGAAAAATCAACTACTGTAATTGATAAAAGTGATGAACCAAACATTCTAATTAATAAAAATGATGAAATTAATATTTTAAGTGAAACGAACAATGTTAATCAAGTTTAAAAAAAAATTTGAAGCAATAAATATAATTCAAGTAAAATTTGATAATTTTGCTAAATAAAACAATTTAAATACTATATTGAATATATAGATGATGTTTTGGAGATAAGAGGAATATAGGTGGATAAGGAAACCAAGAAAAAAATATTATTTGCATACATGGGGATTAGTAATTTGGCAGGGATGAAGTCATTTATATAAAGAATTATGAAGGAACTAAATTATGACAAAATAGTAGTGGGTAGGGCAGTTTTTAGACCCATTATAACTCTATTTAGTACTAGAATTAAGTTCATTTGAATAGAAAGAGGAGAATGCGAAACAGTTACTGACTTTTCAGGGTGTCTTTTAAAATTGGCACAAGAGTTTAAGTTTGACTCAGACCTTGAAGAGAGATTAAGAGATCAGATGGTGGCAAGAATAAAAATGTCAGCACTGGAGAAAGATATTCGTACCAGATTTCCAGATGGAATAAATCCCTGGGATAAAGGGTGAGCTTTTAACAAGTTTTAAATATGGCTTTGGCAATGGAAAGAGCTGAGAATGAAGTTACAAATATGATGGTAAAAAAAAGTCATTAAACCTAAGGAGCAATTGGAGAATAATCAAGGAAATCCTTTTAATCAAAAGTACCCACATAGTATTATAGAAAAAGAAAATTTTAATTATTGCAATTATAATAATAACAATTTTAAGTACAGAGATATAGTAAATTGAACACAATGACTGTTCATGATGTGGAAGAACTCACACCTCATTCCAATTTTTTTCATCAAGGGTAACTTGTTACATTAGGCAAAAGGTAGGGCATAATGCAAAATACTATAAGAGAGACGTAGGCTACATGCTATCCATCAAGATGATAATAAATCATCAGATTCAATTAACAATATCTCTCTAATTGGTAGAAACAGTGGTAAGATCAGCGTCTATATGATAGGATTTTCATTGGATGCAAACCCCCTTCAAAAACATAGGCATACCCCCCTAAAAAAGCGACAATGCTTTATTATACTGGTACTCCTTTCATAAATTTTAAAAAGAATCTTAAATTATTTTTCTACTACCAACTATCAAAATATTATGCACATAAAAGAATTATTATTTTATGAATTCAATTAAAAACCCTCTCATTTACAATGAATGTATATTGTTTGGCATGAATATGAGTTTGCTGAGTAACAACCCTTGTAAATTATATTTAAAAAGGATAGCAGAGTTTTATTTGGAAAATAATGCCCCCCCCCCATAAAATCGGATGCAAACTGATCTTACTATGTATCCTTTAGGAAAAACGGAGTGGATTTAAACAATCCCCCCGCAGTTTTTTATATCTACATTCGTGCATTTAAAACATGCAATATTTCATCATTCTAGCTCTTAAAATCTATCTCCAGAAGTGCTTTAGATATAAACTCCCTTTCATATTTACTTTCATAGACTACAGCAAAGCCTTCGATAACGTAAAACACAATGCCCTCTGGGAAGTTTTAGCAGATTGCAATATTGATCTTAACATAATTAAAATCTTGAAGTACCATTACAATAACTCTTGGGCCAAATTACAGCTAGGCCAAACTTTCTCACCTTACTTCAAGATTAAAAGAGGTGTAAAACAAGGCTGTGTATTATCACCTATTTTGTTCAATATAATCATAAACAAAATTATAAAGGAAACCACGAGCACCATGAACCTAGTTGATATATCATCAAACAATAATAATATCAATCACCTAAGAATCATCTCATACGCAGATGATCTAGTTTTAATCACCAAATCAAGAGATGAGACAATAGACTTACTTACAAGTCTATGCTTTCATAGCAACAAAGTGGGTTTAACCATCAACTTTAATAAAACTTTTATTATGCCGGCGTCTATAAATAACTTAACATTTGAGGGAAATGAAATTAAAATAGTTAACAATTTTAAATATCTTGGCGTACTTATCGATAATAAAGGAAATAGCAGCGGTGAAATCGAAGCCCGACTAAAAAACGCCAAAATAACCTTCATGAAATATTACAAACTATGGACAGCAAGAGAGATCTCAGTCAAAACGAGACTCCGAATTTTTAACGCCACAGTCATTCCAGTCCTCCTCTATGGCAGCGACACTTGGAAAATAAATAAATCTCAGACAAAGAAAATACAGGTTTTCGTAAACCGCTGTCTGCGCCAGCTCAACGGTATTTTCTATCCAAGAATAATTTCAAATGCCAGCCTATGGCGAATCTCAAAAAACGTCCCGATCGAGACTACTCTCAAAAAAAGGCACATTCAACTCTTTGGTCACACCATCAGAAACTTCAGACAAAACATAGTTCATGAAGCTATAATCTGGCTCGAGTCTCATGAAGGTAAAACATACGGTAAATACAAGTCATATTGGCTATACAGAACGATAAAAGAAATCATAAGCCTAAATCTGACGATGGAACAATTCATACGTCTAAACAATAATAAAAGCTCAATAAAAAAGCTTCTAAAAATCAAATCGGGCTACCTGCACCCTCCAAATCTCTCAGCCCCCCCTGCAGCATAAGCACCACTTTCCTCCCGCCATGGTAAACATACATTTATTTATTTGTTTATAAAACTCTTCATGTACCTAACCTTGATATAATTATCCAAAATATACTTAACTCACTAATCTAATATTCTTAAATAGTAAGGCAGATTTATTAAAAAAATATATCATATTTATATTAAATAAACAAATTCAATATAGACCATAAACTTAAAATTTACCAATACCCCTCCCTATAATTTACATTTTACTTAATCGGGTACGGGCTTTTCTCTCTCTTCTTATTTCCCGTAGGCGTTTAAGCAAGTGGTTTCGCCTCTTGCGCGCACAGGTAACTGCAGCCTGCCCAAGAACTGTGGATGGGCTCATCTCATAGGTTACCCTTAAATTTCTTAACCCAATTAGATGGGATGAGATAGTCCAAGCGTAGCTCTGCTGTTTCATATAGCGATAAAGGGTAATTGCGCTTATTATGACGTATGACGTATATGAGCGTTCTATTTTTTTATAAATATTTTATAAATATAAATTTGGCTTAATATTAAAATGCAAAATTGTGAAAAACACTATACGCCTACTTCATATGACGATTGTTAGTTAATAAAAAATTATTTTTATTATTTTTTAATATTTGATATGCTTATTATTAATAATTCTAAATTAAGGATATTTTATCAGGTTTTGGTAGGGAAATTATTTCTCAATAAAGAGAAAAACACTTAGTTAATATAAGTCCAGAAGAAGGAGAAAGTTTTACTCTATGGACAAAAAACAAAGACTGCTTGGATTGTATGCCGTTTTTAAAACCTAAAAAGTACCTACACAAAGAATAAAATATTTGCTATTTAATTCTAATTCATCATGTTGTTTAAAAATAGGTCTGCATTAATACAACTAATTCAGATTGATCTTTTCAAAAAAATGGAAATATCACCATAGTTCACTTAACAAAGAAAATAATAGCTATAGAAATTCAAACTGCCTAGCTTTTATCAATCTTGTTATAAAGCAATTAATCTTTGCAGCATTTCAATTTTATCCCATATCATATTCAGATTTATTAAGGCAGCTTAGAGTTAATGGTGAAGTAATTTTCACATACATGTGATGTATATATTATAATTATTTATAAATAAAAGAAAAATTTATAAAGCTCTTTGAACTGGGATTGTCTGTTTGTGAATCAAAGAGAATAATATATTAGCAAACTTTACCATGTAAAGCTAATGCCTCCATTAATCCAACATCCAGACAAATTAAACACATTTATGATGTATAGTATACTCAAAATTAGGCTCGTCTATTGATTTTTGGGATACATTTAAAAAAAGGAAGATTGAATTGGAAAATAAAAGTATAAAATATATATATAAATAAATTACATATTTTAATTTGATATAAAAATGTACATATGGGAAGAATTCATTTAGGGGGGGGGGGGTATGTTAATGACTCCTATCATGATGAGAGCACAGCTCACTTCCAAAAAGTTAATATTTGTGGATTCCACATCTTGTTGTGATAGTGATAATTCTACTATCACACTAATGCTTACTGCAACTAAAGAAGGGGCAATACCAATTGCTATTTTTTTGCACAAGGGATATTTCATGGAGAGTTATAAGAATGTGTTTTCTTCAAGGAACATGCCCACAGGGATTTGTGGAAATAATGTAAATTTTTTTTATCATTCTTAATTATTTAATTATCATTTTAGTACCCTTTGGCTTTTATGACAAATGTATCTGACGCAGAAAAGAATGCTTTAAAGATTTGGCCATCTACTCAATTATTATGCCAATTTCATAGCAATATGATTAATAAAATAAAAACACCTAATCAAGCAGCTAAATTTTTAGTAGCACAACCTAAATTTTATAAGAAAGATTCAAAAATTTATGTACAACCAACTTCAATATCCCGACAAAAATTCCCATCAACAACAAAAAAAATAACTGGTCATAATTTTCACAAAAAAAGACCTTGATTTTTATCACTTAATATGAAAAATAATATACCCAATGCTACAAAACATTAATTAAAAATTATATTTCTTTTTATATATTTGTCTTATATAGATATGGTATGTTAATATTTATATTAAAAAAATTTATCTTATAATATTTTTAATATTAAATTTGAAAATAAAATTTATATATATACATTTATTTATATATTTTTTACAGCGAAATTTATATTCAGTTCAAATTGTTTCAGAGCAGACTATGCAAATGAATATTTATGGCTTGTTCAAATTATTTTGATATTATTTAATTTAGCAATCGCCGGGGTGGCCTAATGGGTTAGATGTATGCTTGGAAACAGAAGTACGAACAAGGACGCAGCGCAGGTTCAGGAGCATAAAAACTTTCAAGTTATTATGCGATGACTGATGTGTAAAGACATATGGTATGATGAATTTCGGAGCTTAGAGATGACACCCTGGTCACCGACAGGCCTAGACAGCTGGGTGCTAAGGATACCTGTCCAATAAACAAAATGAAGGAAACAAATGGAAATATGAATATGAAAGCTAGGGCGTTCCCTCCAAGCGACGCGCAGGGGTCGACCTCCATCCTGTGAAAAGTAAAGTAAAAAGTCAAAGCAAAGAAGACAAGATTAGCAAGTTTTAATGTTGGGACACTTAAAGGTAAGACGAGAGAATTAACATAGTTGATATAGCGTGCATACAAGAGACAAAATGGAAGGGGCAGAAAAATTTGATGATTGGAGATGGTTATAAATTGTACTATAATGGAATTGTTAGCAATAGGAACGGTGTCGGCATCATCCTCAGACAAGATCTAACCTCCTCAGTAGTAGAAGTCAGGATCTCTGATAGACTAATGAAGATAAAACTCTGCATTGGTCAATCAATACTACACATCCTTTCAGTATATGCTACTCAAACGGATTGCAAGGAAGAAGAGAAAGATGACTTTAGAGGTATCCTTGATGAAGCTGTAATGGAAATCCCTAAGGATGACCTAATCATAATTGGTGACTTAAATGCGCATGTGGGAAAACAAGAGGTAGCTATAAAAGGCATTATGGTGGTTTTGGATACGGAAAAAGAAATGATGAAGGAGAGCATGTACTGAAATTTGCGCAAGGCTTCGACCTTGCCTTAACCAACACCTACTATAGGAAAAAAGACAGTCATTTAATAACATAAGAAAGTGGAACTAGATTACATGCTAATCTCTCGCAGAAGATTAAAAGATGTAATAGACTGCAAAGTCATCCCACTAGTCATGGATTTACGCATCTCAAATAAATCCACTCAAAACAAGATAAAACTGGATGACAGATTCCTTTGCAATCAATGCAAACATTGAAACAATAGATTCCGAGTCAGTGAAAAAATGTGGACAGACCTTTCAACCAGCCAAATCCTAGGCTTGACAAGGGGAGGCAACAAATCATACAAAGAACTATGGTGGTGGAATGAAGAGGTACAAACAACTATAAATGAGAAAAAATCCCTATATAAAATATGGTTCAAGATTCCGAGTCAGTGAAAAAATGTGGACAGACCTTTCATCCAGCCTAATCCTAGGCTCAAGGGGAGGCAACAAATCATACAAAGAACTATGGTGGTGGAATGAAGAGGTACAAACTACTATAAATGAGAAAAAATCCCTATATAAAATATGGTTCAAATTCAAAAACCAGAGTTGTTAAAGTAGCGCGCTACTTAGCGCGCTATCTTTTTTGGTAGCTATAGCTAATAGCCGCTACTTTTTTAAAATTATTTAATTTTTTAGCGTGCTACTTCGCTACTTTTAAAAAATATAATGAATGTAAGTATAAACATGAAAATTTAAATATAATATAATTAATTATAATTTTTATAATTTATTATTTAATTTTGAAATTTAAATATATTTTCAATTTTTAATTTATATTTTCAATCTGTGTTAATAATCTAAAATGGCATCGTCCATGGATATCCAAATCCTTGAAAGTGATTCAGATATGGAAGATTCAAGAAGAAAATGTACTTAATAGCTCTAATAACGTTTTTCCATTCCCTAAATTTGAAAAATTTTTTAAAATAAATATTAAAACAAAATCTGAATTCAAATTCATGTGCTTAAAATGTAAAAAAATATATCATCAAATCAATCGAGTAGCTATAACCTGAAGAAACACCTAAAGGTAAATTGTTATTTTTACATTATAATATTATTTATTTTATTAGACTGTTCACGCCAATTGCTATAAGGAAAGAGAGAAACATATAAAAAATTTTGGTATAGGAGAATCTTCATTCAAAAAGACAAATACTATCCAAATCAAATTAACTGATAATAAAAATGCCAATATTTCACAAAAATTGGCTGATAAAGTTATTGTTGATTTTATTATTGACACAGTTCAGCCAGTGTCTTTGGTTGATAATCCATCATTTACTCTGATGATTAAAACTTTATCCCCTGGCACAACAGTTATATGTCGCCAGACACTTATGAATAAAATAGACGACAACTTCAAAGTGATGAAAGATGCTCTAATAGTAGAGTTATCATATATATCTTATGTATGTACCACGGCAGATAGTTGGACACATAACAGAAGGTAAAAACTTATTTATATTTATAAATTGATCTGATTAAATATTTTTAGAGCTTATTTGGGAATCACAGGCCATTGGTTAGACCCTAGGACTTTAAAAAGAAGATCTGTAGCCTTAGCCCTTAAAAGGATTATAGGATGCCAGACATATGACGTACTTGCAAATAAAATTATTGACATCCACAAGTCTTTTAGGATTCATAATAAAGTTTGCAAGATGGTTACTGATAATGGGTCTAACTACCTGAAGGCATTTAGGTTATATCACAAATTTATTTATAATATTTATTTTAAGTTATGATTTTTATCAGAATGGAATGGTTATTATTTAATCTATAAAATATTTAGTATTTTAATATTTCACATTATTTATAGAATTTTTATTAACTAAATACACATTTTAGTAATATTATGATTATCATAATTTATATCAAATTATAAATAAGATAGGCTAATGGCGAAGCTGGATAATCTTACTCCAACAAACATAGATTGCTGAGTATCTACCACGAAGACATCCTCAAATAATTTTTTTGAAATTAAAGATGATTTCATAGAAAATCCAATCTTTTTTTTCAATCAAAAAATATTGAGATGAACATTTTTGATAATTTTTCATATATTAAAAATTTATATATAAAATTTAATACCCCCTTGCCCTCAAGTGCTAGTGTCGAGAGATTATTTAGTAAAGCAAAGCTTATACTTTCTGATCGTCGTTCTAGACTTGGGGATGATAACATTGAAATGATATTATTATTAAAATGCAACAAATTAAAATAAATATTTATTTATATTGCTCATTTTTTTATAATCTAAACTAACTATATTTTTATATTTATAAATGTTGATTTTTATATATTATTTATTATACATTTACATTATAAGCAAAAAAAAAATATAAAAAATTTGTTTCATTTGTTTCTAAATTTTTTTTTATAAAAAGTAGCTAAAGCTACTTTTGAAAAAAAGTAGCTAATAGCGCGCTACTTTTTTTGACAAATAGCGAAAGCGGTAGCGCGCTACTTTTTTTGACAAATAGCGAAAGCGGTAGCGCGCTACTTTTTTTGACAAATAGCTATTACGGTAGCGCGCTACTTTTAAAAATAGCGTTTAACAACTCTGTCAAAAACTTAGATAACAAGACAAATTACAAAAAATCCAAGAGAATAGCTACAAAGGCGGTGGCTAGGGCTAAATCTATCTACATACCAAAGAAGGGCAAAATAAAATATAGATTAGCCAAACAGCGAGAAAAGAACTCTAGGAATATAAACGGAGCTCCGAAAAGTAATCAAAAATAAAGATGAGAAATTGATAATAAAGGAAAAAGAAATAATGGAGCTTCTCAACTTTAATCCCCACATCTAGACGAACACTCCCCATGTCAAAACCTTGTACAACCTAAAACAGAACAAGAAATAATCACATGCCTCAACAAAGTTAGGGGTCCAGACGATATTCCATTGATGGAATACATCTCCTCACAAATCTGTACAATAAAATGAAGAGGTTCCCCAAAAATGGAGGCAGAGCTATCTAGTTCCTATCTTCAAAAATAAAGGGGATCCACACAATTGTCAAAATTACAGGGGCATAGGTAAATGAGCTAAAAATACAGGGAAAAGAACAAAAAGCTACACATAGTCCTTTTCTATCTAGAAAAGGCCTTCGATAGAATCCCAAGAAAACTTATCTGGTGGGCGCTACACCACAAAAAGGTTCCAGAAAAATATATAAGAATAATACAGGATATGTATATGGGCTATACAACAATGGTCCGTAGCACAACAGGTATTTCAGTAGATTTCACAATAGCCGAAGGAGTTCATCAAGGGTCGGCTCTCAGCCCACTTTTCTTCATTACTGTAATAGATGTATTAGCACAGTCTATACCTCAAACAATCCCGTGGAATATGATATTTGCAGATGATATTGTGATACTTGCCGAATCTAAGGATGAAATGAAAGAAAGATTAGTGAGTTGGATAAATATCCTAGAAATGCACGGATTAAAAGTAAATAGAGAAAAGACGGAGTATATGGTGATAGGGGGTGATGAAACAGAGAGTATTGATATAAATGAATGGCTGATATCGGCAATTGAAAGCTGCAAATATTTGGGCTCCACTATACAAACAAACGGCACAATAGAAAAAGAGATAAAGAGTAAAATTAATCAAGGGTGGTTAAAGTGGAGACCTTTATCTGGAGTGCTATTTGACAAAAGAATCCCACACAAATTAAAGGGAAAAATTTACAGTTCCATAGTACAACCAACTATTCTATATAGTTCGGAAACATGGCCAACCAAAGAATCAGACGAGAGAAGTCTACAAACTATGGAGATGAATGGTAAACAGACTTAGGTGGTATGGGCACACAATGAGAAGGCCTATGAACTACATAGGAAATAAAGTTAAGAGTTTGGAAGTGATGGGCAAACGTAAAAGAGGAAGGCCAAAACTTCAATGGGGCTATAAAGTTAGAGCCAATATAAAGAAGTATAAATTAGATAAAAAAGATTGTATGAATAACATTAAGTGGAGAGAGATGTTGAAGGAGCTTACCACCAGAAAAGGTGATAGCTAAAGAAAAATTTTTTTTAAAATTTAGCAGACGATGTAAATGAATATTTAAGAAAAGATATATAATTGAGATTTGTGAATATCAGACGATATTTTATTTTAAAAACAATTTTGGCTTATATAAATTTTTTAATAATGATTTTAAGTCAGGCGTGTACGCAGGAATTTGGTCTGGGGGGGGGGGGGGAGGGATAATAAAATTTTTTAAGAAATATTATTGTTTTTTAAAAATATCAAGCATAAATTTATCAGGACTAATAACTATTTCTAATACACAATTTTAAATTAATGTGAATTATAAAAAAATTATATGTAAAGAATCACTTAAATGACCCAAAATAGACATTTGAATTATTTGAGCTTTAAAATTTATATATAACGTATAAAAAATTTAAATGTTAGAAATATAAATTAATACACAAAAAGCTTAGGGAATAATTGTATTTTGTATGTTATATATTTACAATGTAAAATCCAATCTTCGTTGGGATTGAGCTAATTTTTCAATTATCTCATCCTTGCTTGTTGTCAAATGCCTATGAATATTCATAAGAATGTTTCAAAAACAATTGACACTATTAAAATAAGGCCAGGTTTATATTTTATAAATTAATAATTTGATTTCAGGTTTTCTCGATGCTTCTTTTGATAGAATTAAAAGATTTCAATCTGATTCGAAAGTAAAATTATTCACCACATTAAGCCTTGATGAAATGTCCATTCGTCATATTGTACAATGGGACAAAAAGGAGTACCATGGATATGTTGATTTGGGCAATGAAATCAAACCATCTGATTCTCTTCCTAAAGCCAAACAGGCTCTTTTTCTTATGGCAACATGTCTTAATGGAACATGGAAAATTCCCATAGGATACTTCTTAGTATCAAATGCTACTGGAGATTTGCTTGCTAATATAGTCACTAATGCTCTTCATTTATTACATGATACAGGCACTTCCTGTAAAGTTATAGTATGTGATGGTTTGGCGGCTAATATAAAAATGTACCAACTACTTGGTGCATCTATAGATCCTGATCTATGTATACCCTATTTTACTCACCCATTAAATTTTGATGAAAAAGTCTACATTATGTTGGACGTATGCCACATGATTAAGTTGTTGAGAAATCTTCTCGGTGATAAAAAAATTTTAATTTATAATAATGGATCAGTAATTAAATTACTATTAAAATATATATTTTTATAAATTAATAGATAATAAATTGGAAATATATAGCTAATCTTCACAATTTACAAGATAAAGAAGGACTTCGTGCTGCTAATAAAATTAATAAATCTCATATTGACTATCACAAACAAAAAATGAAAGTAATACTTATATTTTTTTTAAAGGTTAAACTTGCTGTACAAGTTTTTAGTAGCTCAGTGGCAAAAGGTATTCTTTTGGCACAAGAGCTAAAGATTGATGTGTTTGAAAATTGTGAGAGCACAGTTGACTTTATTCAAAAATATATTAATATTTTAAATAATATTTTTATAGAATGTTTGACTTTTTAAATACATGGAACATAGTTGCTAAAGGGTTTAAAAAACCACTAACTACAAATTCACTTTCTTATTATGAAAATTTTTTTGAGATGTGCATTACAACTTTAAAATCCTTAAAGTTTGAAAGTGGAAAATACGTTTATAGATCAAAAAAAAAGTCTGCATTATAGGCTTAATCTTGTCAATGAAAAGCATTTTGGGAATTGGGAGGGAATTATTATTAGGACCTAACCCCAAACTCAAGTATTTTATTTAGCATTATATATATTTTGTATATTTATTGCTTTTCATATTTTAGATATCTTTTAACCTACAAAACATCTCAAGATCATCTAGAGCTCTTCTTTAGCTGTTTACGAAGCAGAGGAGGTTTTAATAATAACCCTTCTGCCTATCAATTACGATCAGCTATAAGAGGCGTTATGATAGCAAAGATGGGAGCCTTATGCACAGGTAATTGTATTCCATTCGATAATACAAATCTTTTTTGTGGAGATTATCAAGATAATGATGATGACAATATACAAGCTATAGATTTTTCTTTTATAGATGTTCCAGATATCCAAAAATTATCGCCATTCGTTGATAACATCGCAACTTATATATCAGGATATATAACACGTAAACTTATATCCGAAAATAAGGTAAAGTGTTATATATGTATTTCTGCAATGATTGTTAAAAATTGTAAAGATTAAGAGAGCTATAATTTAATTAAAATTAAAAACAATCAGGGATTAATAATTCCTTCCAGAGATGTATCTAGTAGATTATGCCAATACTGAAAGTATTTTCCGTACATTTGAACATATCAAATTAAAAGGCCTTGTATATTTAAACGAATAGTATCTTTTGTGATTTCAAAAGTGATAGAAACAAATATTTTTGATAATCTGGTTGAGGGTCATTCCATGTCAAATCAATCACTTTTCGGCCGACCCCTTTCGATTTTGATAAAAATTCGTAGGCTGGTTATATATGTTCCCATTAGATTATAAACAAAATTTTAGCGCATTAGAAACTATATTAGCGGAGATATTCGGGGTTAAAGGTCCAAAAAACGTCTTTTTTTGCTTTTTACTGATGTTAAATAATTAGTTTTTAATTTAAAACTAAATATGATCAAATATTGAATCTAATATCAATAGCCAAGTTAATAATTGATGATTATGGCTAAAACATCAAAATTAATTTTTGATAAAATATGGGTCATCTTATGGTCAGTTGAAAACTTGAAATTAATATTTCGAAATGTATATGATCTCCGATTTTTAATTTTTTTAAGAATTATTATCCGTTTACTATTTTTTTAATAATTTATTCGACAATCAGTATGGCTGGGTATTTATTTAAAAAAATATTGGGATTATTATACTTTAGAAAAAATAGATGGCGCTATATAATAGTTTTAATATGTTAAAATTTATTTTTTTATTGATTAAAAATATTTTAATATATATATATCATACTAAATCGATTACAATGTGCATTATATATATTATTTGTAATTCAGATCATAAATTTTTAAAATCTTCACAAATTTTGCCTAATTAAGATAGTTTATAAATTAATTAAATCTTACTTCATCTAAAGGAATACAAAGCCTGGCTAGCTTGTGAGATTCTTCAGGAGATAATATATATGTTCGACTGGTGGGAGTAGAAGGATTGACCAGCGAGAGAATATGAGATTTAGGCAACACTAAAATATTATCTTTCAGAGGAAATTTAAATGAGGCTGAAGGTCCACAAGGGTGTAAAAATCGGATTTTTACTTCTTCATTTGTATAACTTTTATCGATTATATATCCTAACCACCATTTATCATCATATACACATGTTATATATTCATTAATATTTTAAAATATAATTTTCTCATTTAAAAACGGAACTTGTTTTATATTATATTTTTTGGAATTAGAATATATTTTGGTTTTTAGTTTATTTTGATCAATGGGAATAATCCCGTGTTTTTGGGTCCCATGTATGGGCAGTGCAGAATTAAATCTTTTACGAAGGGCTAATTCCTCTTCGATATATTCTTGATTGGATACATATTCAAATTGAATATTAATATTTTCTTTAGCATAATTATATAATTCTAATGGGGTTAGGATTTGATTTTTATTTGGCCTTTGAAGACTAGCTCTGGCAACTAATCTTTTGACAGTTCCTCCGATACCGTCACATGCATTTTTGCCGTGAGCAGTGACAAAGAAATGCCATTCGGCAGGAATATTAAAATCGTATTTATGAAGGCATATGTTCAGAAAATTTTTGCGATTCTTGTATTGAGACGCGGCTTCATCCGAAAAATATATTATTTTTTATGGTTTAGAATGAAATTTGGCTGTTAAGAATTTAATGAATTTTTTTTGATAAAGGTGGACTGCACTAGTATTATGGCTTAATGATTCGGACAAAATAACAAAATTTATATTTTTTAATTCTTCTCCAGATTTATAATATGCTACAAATGGATGTATAGTGGCCTGCACATTGTTCCAATGAAATCCCTGAACTTCATCTTGTAAAATGAAGGAATAATTTTCAGAATAATCTAGAATTGTTAAAAATTCCTCATCTTTTAAATTTTCTTTGGAATTCTTCAAAAATAAACTGTGTTTAGCTATAAACGAGTGACGCAGTAAAATTTGAACTTTTTATAATAGATATTCGATGAAACCATCAATGGACTTTATAATAGTTTCAAGATTTGCTCTATCCACCGTGATCCATTGTTTAAACGTGACATATTCTATACGATTTCTCTGAAACAATTCGTATAATTGGCCTATAAGAGATTCTATACCAGGGCATTGATCACAATTTGTTAAATAACATTTTGGCTGAGATGGATTATAAATAATTTGCGCCAAAAGATTGTTATAAGAATTTATACAGTAATCTTCTCCTGCTGTAATTTCAGCTATTACATTTGTCATTAATTTCACATTCTGATGAATGGCGCAGACACAAACAGTGTGTGTGCCATCCAACTAAAATTCAGTTTTTTGGTCTAAGTTCGGCAAATTTAGGGAATCCAATTGATATACTTGGGTATTCTTCCTTAAACATCTTGAATATTTCTTTAAGATTATTTAATATAAATCTTTGCTAATTCTTTCTCGCCTTTAATAGATACACAATCTTTTATTCCAGGCATGAGTCGGCTTATTTCATCAGAACTATAATTTTGTTATTTTTATTGCTTAAAAAATTTTTGAAATTTTCTTTATCTCTGGTTATTTTAATAATGTAAGATAATGACAATTTCATAACATTCTTGGTCTTAATGGGTATGACTTAGTCTGGGGAGGGGGTGGATAGGGGGTTGGGGGTAGGCCTGGTAATTAATGCGATTTTCGATTTTTCCCTTAATAATTTTTCTGCACCCCTTTAATCCTGCTTTTTTGTTCGTGTGCTAGTCCGATTTTTTTATTATTTTAATTTACAATGAAATATTAAAAAAATTATTAAAATTTTTTATCCTGCGAATATCTCAGGGGAATAAGGTTTACAAAGTTATATAATCGAATTTTATGATATATTTACATTAAAATATTTTTAATCAATAAAAAAAATGAATTTTAACATATTAAAACTATTATATATAGCGCCATCTATTTTTTTTAAAGTATAAAAATTGCAATATTTTTTTAAATAAATATCCAGCCATGCTAATTGTTAAAGAAATTATTAAAAAAATAGTAAACGGATAATATTTCTTAAAAAAATTAAAAATCGGAGATCATATACATTTCGAAATATTAATTTCAAGTTTTCAACTGACCATAAGATGACCCATATTTTAAAAAAAATTATTTTTGATGTTTTCGCCATAATTATCAATTATTAACTTAGCTATTGATATTAGATTCAATATTTGATCATAATTAGTTTTAAATTAAAAACTAATTATGTAACATCAGTAAAAAGGAAAAAAAGGCGTTTTTTGGACTTTTACTCCGATTATCTCCGTTAATATAGTTGCTAATGCGCTAAAATTTTGTTTATAATCTAATGGAAACATATATAACCAGTCTACAACTTTTTATCAAAATTGAAAGGGGTCGGCCGAAAATCTTGATTTTTTTGCTCATTTGACATGAATGACCCTTGATCACATGCTAGATCAAGAAGAAACATCTAGCCATTATCAAAAATTAATTAGATTAATAGTTGAACGTTACATAAACATAAGATTTTATCATTTTGCAGATAAACAAAATGAAAATACCAACATTCGTCAGAAGCTGACCAAAACCATTCTATTTAAAGGACAATAAATATATCTATATAATCTTTTTTAATTTAAATGATATTAGATATATATTGTAACTATATATATTTAAATATAAATAATATCTATAAATCCTTTTTGTAATTCATGAATATTATTTCTATTTATTAATTTATAATAAACAATTATTGATTTCATCATAAGATTAATAATCTCATAATATTAAGTTATGAAATTCTTCAAAAAATAAAAAGGTAAGATTAAGCTAAATTTATCTGAAGTCTTAGAAATGTTTTAATTTATTTAATCTATATTTTTTTTATTGATAAAATAAACTGGATAATATAATATAAGGAAAAATAATTTTTTATTTGCAATACATAATTTATCCTAAGATATTATTAAATCAATATGATCCAATTAGCACAACAGATTAAAATATTAAATTCATATTGTATTTCTTTAATAAAATAACATATTTTTTATAATATATATATTATTGAGAATCTGAAGATTAAACATTTACTTTTTATTAAAAAAAAAAGAAATACCTCTATTTTTAAGATTCAGGATCACAACTTTAAAATTGAGAGAACTTTACATTTATTATTTAAGAAAAATATTGGAGAGGATGCCTAATATTCTGGATTTCTAAGTTATATTTTACTTTTTTATTTATATCATAATGTAAATTTTTAGCTAGAATTCTTTAAAAATTAACTTATGTTTAGATGTTTAAGCCAAACAATATGAATATTTATAATAAAAATCCTGATGATTCAGTTTATCACCTTGTATGATTCGAAATATTGGGCAAGTAAAGTCTCATATTAAGATAAACATAAATTTGATTTAAATATATCTACCTTATTAGATATTTTAAGAATAGAAACTAAAAACAATTATATTGTGTCTTAAGAAAAACAAGTGATAAGTAAGGGAACTTTATTAGATACTTTATATTCTATGTATAAAAAAATGTTTAAAATATAAATTTTAATAATTTAGTCATATAATTTTAAATTATTTGAATTTGGTCTGCTAAATATATATCTTCTTGGAAGAATAGCCTTGGAATATTTGTGGGATAGGATCCTTGATGGTACCATTAATGCAGATGGATGTGGATTTAAATTCTTTGTTAAGTATCATAGGAAAAATTTCAGATATAGTAAAATTAGGCTCTCGTTTAAAATTTTAATAATGATTTCTGTTACCAAAATGGTGGGTTCCAGCTGATTTGCTTTTACGTGACGTATCGTCCCGTAGTCTCGAATTATTATTAACTTTATACGTTTTGTCGCTTTACGAGAAAAGGTGAAATTGAATTTACAAGCTAAATACCATTTTTCAATAATCAACCCAGCATAATACTTTGAGTTTATATAAATAGGAAGTATAAAGGTAACCAATTTTTTTTAAACTATTAATTAAATATGACAAGGAGATATTTTATGCTATTATAATTACTTAATTATATTTATATAGATGGCTATGCCTAATCACTTTAAAAAGCATAAAGACTATAATAGCTTTACTGCTTACTATACATGCACAAATAAACCATGCCTTGGACGCTGGATTGTTAAGAACAATTTATTTACCATGTCCAAAGAGTGCACGAGTATATTAATTATAGATAAATTTTATATTAATATATTATAGATGCAATCTGCCTTCAAAAAAATTATTTTTCTGTAGGATGCCAAAGTAAAACCTATTTATATCATCCTTTAACATTATTTACCTCTTTATTAAAGCTTCCATTTCATATGCAAGTATTGGGTGTCAAAGTAATACATTAATTTTATCTTATTTACAAAATATTACAAATTATTCACCATGTAAAATACAATATATTTATTATATCAATTATAAAGCTATTCAAGATGATATTCCTATTCTAACCCGAGAAGCTGTTGTCAGTGAAATCAATTATGCATCAATTCCATGTATATATAATATGATTAATACATTTACTATATCAATTATAAAGCTATTCAAGATGATATTCCTATTCTAACCCAAGAAGCTGTTGTCAGTGAAATCAATTATGCATCAATTCCATGTATATATAATATGATTAATACATTTACTATATCAATTATAAAGCTATTCAAGATGATATTCCTATTCTAACCCAAGAAGCTGTTGTCAGTGAAATCAATTATGCATCAATTCCATGTAAAATTCAATATAAATAATATTCATTATATCAATTTAATTGCAATGACATTCAAAATTTATTTTCTTTTTAAATAGATCAATCACCATTCAATTTTCAAGATTTATTTTTTTTAAAAAAATCAATTTATAAATTAATAAAATCAAAATATAATAATGACTTTTTATATTCTAATAAGTATTTGTATATTAATGATAAATTAATATATTATAAATGCCATACAAAACATTGTAAAGGGAGGGGGATTTTAAATACTCATTTTATAATGACACAAAAGCATATTGATCATAATGATGAAGAAATATATAATACACTCATCACGATCAATATGCTTAAAACAGAACTTCTGTTAAATAAAAATATTAGTATTAGAAAGACATACAGAAAGGTTATGAGAGACAGAAAACTCGATCCTTTCTGTATGCAAAACCCCAAAACGTTACCTACCTTTTTATCGGTTAAATCCATTATGGGACGTGTTATTCAATTAACACGACCCCCCCTTCCCCTTTCAAATGGTGATATTATATTAACCCAAGAGCACACAATTACCATGACTGGAACTAATTTTTTAGTTCATAGTTGTGATGATAAAAAATTGTTAATATTTTCTACAACATCTCTTCTTTCACGCCTTTGTTTGGCTGAAAAAATTTTTTTGGATGGAACTTTTAATTCCTCCCCTAAATTATTTTATACTATTAATATTTTAATTAACCATACCTTAATTGTATGTGTTTATATATTATTACCTAATAAATACAAAAATACTTATATAAATATGTTTAATTTATTAAAAAATTATTGTTTAACTTTAGGTTTAAATTTTTCCCCAAAATATGCCACCATTGATTTTGAAATTGGCGTATATTTAGCCTTGAAGAATGTTTTTCCAAACATTCTTGTCAAAGGCTGTTATTTCCATTTTTGTCAATGTATCGTTAGGCGCATTCAGCAATGTGGTCTGACCATGATAAATATACAAAATAATGATGTAAAAAAATTTTTCCGTATAATTATGGCTATTCCGTTTTTATTAGAGCGGGATGTGCCATATATTATGAATGAACTAAAAATACAAGCTGATTCTTTTGGGTTGTATTCTATATACAACTTTTTAGATTATTTTGAAAATACTTGGATTAATAGTAATGCAAGATTTAACTACCAAATGTGGAATACATTTGATGTTAGAGGTGAAAGGACAAATAATCATGTCGAAGGTTTCCACAGATCTTTGAAAGAATATTTTCCTTACTCTCATCCTAACATTTATCTTTTTATTGATACTATAAAAATTATAGAACAGGACATGGACCTTAAATTATTACAATTAGATGATGGAAGGAAAGTTACAGAGAGAAGAAAAATATATTACAAAATAGACGATAAAATTAGGGAAAATATATTTCTTTATTGTGGGTATATATATACTCCTATGGAATATTTAGAAAAAATATCAAGATATTTATATTCAAAAAAATCTAATCACATTTAAGTTTTTTTAAAACTACAATGTCTACTTTTGCCATATATTCTTTTTTCACGATTTTTCCTCCGTCATGTAATTATATTAATTGTTCAATAATTTTCATGTTGTCAATAAAATAACAGCTATTAGTCTAAGTATTTATATTTTAGTCGGGTCATACAGAAGTGGTATACGCCAATTACAATATTTATGGTCGTTCTTACATTTATAGCCTAATTTTATATTGTATTTATCCACAATTTTTGTGATTTTTTATTTATTTATTAACGTTTTGTATTGCATTTATGCGCATTTTTTATCCAATTATTTTTTTCTGTATTTAACGTTATTCGAATATTTATACTAAATGATACCCTTATAAATAATGTATTATAAGATTATATATTTATTTGTGAAATTAATATTATTTAATAAAATAAAAATATATCCTTTAATGCTAATAAATGTGTAACATTGCAATAAGTATTAATCCAACGATAAAAAATTTATTCAGGGATTTCCTACTAAGTTAGGTAACTTATATATACTAATAGAATCTCAAAAAAATTAAAAGATGTGAGGAAATCTGATGATTATATAAATAAGTACAAATCCAACGATAAAAAATTTATTCAGGGATTTCCTACTAAGTTAGGTAACTTATATATACTAATAGAATCTCAAAAAAATTAAAAGATGTGAGGAAATTTGATGATTATATAAATAAGTACAAATCCACCGATAAAAAATTTATTCAGGGATTTCCTACTAAGTTAGGTAACTTATATATACTAATAGAATTTAAAAAATTAAAAGATGTGAGGAAATCTGATGATTATATAAATAAGTATAAATCCAACGATAAAAAATTTATTCAGGGATTTCCTACTAAGTTAGGTAACTTATATATACTAATAGAATCTAAAAAATTAAAAGATGTGAGGAAATCTGATGATTATATAAATAAGTATAAATCCAACGATAAAAAATTTATTCAGGGATTTCCTACTAAGTTAGGTAACTTATATATACTAATAGAATCTAAAAAATTAAAAGATGTGAGGAAATCTGATGATTATATAAATAAGTATAAATCCAACGATAAAAAATTTATTCAGGGATTTCCTACTAAGTTAGGTAACTTATATATACTAATAGAATCTAAAAAATTAAAAGATGTGAGGAAATCTGATGATTATATAAATAAGTATAAATCCAACGATAAAAAATTTATTCAGGGATTTCCTACTAAGTTAGGTAACTTATATATACTAATAGAATCTAAAAAATTAAAAGATGTGAGGAAATCTGATGATTATATAAATAAGTATAAATCCAACGATAAAAAATTTATTCAGGGATTTCCTACTAAGTTAGGTAACTTATATATACTAATAGAATCTAAAAAATTAAAAGATGTGAGGAAATCTGATGATTATATAAATAAGTATAAATCCAACGATAAAAAATTTATTCAGGGATTTCCTACTAAGTTAGGTAACTTATATATACTAATAGAATCTAAAAAATTAAAAGATGTGAGGAAATCTGATGATTATATAAATAAGTATAAATCCAACGATAAAAAATTTATTCAGGGATTTCCTACTAAGTTAGGTAACTTACATATACTAATAGAATCTCAAAAAAATTAAAAGATGTGAGGAAATCTGATGATTATATAAATAAGTATAAATCCAACGATAAAAAATTTAATTAGGGATTTCTTAGTAAGTTAAGTAATTAACATATACCAATTAATCATAAAGCAATATATTATATAAACCAATATATATTTATATATCTAAATATATTATAAATAATTATAATTAAATTTTATATATGATGAAATTATATTCAATATATAATTAAATTAATATATAAAATATATTATACTAACTATGTTAATAATATTAACTATTATATTAAATTTAAATATATTGATTACATTATATTAAATACATTATATTAAATTAAATTTAAATATATTGATTACATTATATTAAATACATTATATTAAATTAAATTTAAATATATTGATTACATTATATTAAATACATTATATTAAATTAAATTTAAATATATTGATTACATTATATTAAATACATTATATTAAATTAAATTTAAATATATTGATTACATTATATTAAATACATTATATTAAATTAAATTTAAATATATTGATTACATTATATTAAATTTTTTATATATCAATTAATTAATAAATATTTAAATTGTATATTTACTTTATTAAATTACAAGATTCTAACAATTCGTTATTAATTTAATATTAATTAAATTATAAAATCTATCTCATTTGTGATAACCGATTGAAATTTATTGGCGGCCATGTTTTAATTTTATATTTATATTTTAAAATCTCTCGCTTCAACCTTTAGGGGCCATATTGGTCGCCATTTTAGCTTATTTGTCTTTTTGATACTTTTTAATATTCGAGACAGCGGACCCAAATCTTACGTGATACATAGCGCTTATGCCCTCTAGTGTTGAAATGCAACAGAGCTACGCTAGGTTTTCCTCATTTCCATCTTATTGGAACAGTTAAATTTGGGTATAAAAGTTAAAATATGAGGAGCCCTCCACACGTTTGTGGGCAAGCCGCACGTACTTGTTAACGCAACATTTCGAAAAATATAACTTAAACCTCTATAGGCTTATACAAAAGGGAATGGGACAAAAAAAGAGCCTATACCCAATAACTACAGTGAAAGTTAATTACGTTGTGGTGGGTTGAGGACAATTTAACATTAAAAATCTTTACTATATTAAAACAATTTTTAGTAAGGAAATACAAAATATACTTATGAGAGGATTTGAATGTATGATGGTATTGGAAATGTTTGATAATGCTGAGTTTACGACGCTTAAGAATGCATTTTAATGAATGAATTGTCAGTCTAGGTATATTATATGTCATTGGGTAAAACGGTTAAAATATAAAATTATTCACATTAAATTTTTCATTTATTCATTTATTATAATTTTTATTGTATCAATCAAATAATGAGAAATTATAAAAGAAAAACCATATACAAAGATGTAAATATAATAAATGAAGCCATAAAATATAAAATAACAAATAATACTTCATTAAATTTGTCTGCTAAAAAATTTAACATACCTTATACAACGTTGAGAAGGAGATATAAAATTGGTATTAAAAGTTCAGATCAAAACAAATATTTACAAATGAAGAAGAATCTAGAATGTGTGACTACATATTAGAAGCAAGTAGGTCATTTATGGGATTAACGCCTAAACAAGTAATTAAATTATATTGTATTTCATAATTTTAATAGCTCAATTTAAATATCAATATTAATTTGGTAACTTTAATAAAAATGCTCAATTGAAATTATATTGTATTTCATAATTTTAATAATGCTCAATCTAAATATCAATATTATTTTGGTAACTTTAATAAAAATGCTCAATTGAAATTATATTGTATTTCATAATTTTAATAATGCTCAATCTAAATATCAATATTAATTTGGCAACTTTAATAAAAATGCTCAATTGAAATTATATTGTATTTCATAATTTTAATAATGCTCAATCTAAATATCAATAATAATTTGGTAACTTTAATAAAAATGCTCAATTGAAATTATATTGTATTTCATAATTTTAATAATGCTCAAATGGTTAATTCAATATTTTAGCCAAATAAATCACGCAAACTTCGAGATTTTGTTAATTAATGTCCAAACCATTCAGCTATCAATGATCAAGATTTCCAGGCTCGCGTAATATTTTTGGCTAAAATATCGAGTGAGCCGTTTTTAAAAATTTAGTTGTTTAACAACACTAGAATCAATATGACAAAAACTTTGTTGGAGGCAGACCTCCATCCAAAATCCACCCTTACCCTCCTTAAAAAATTTTGCGCCTTTCGCCAGCATTATTCTTCCAGCCGACCATTATATTAGAAATGGATGATGCTAATAAAAAAAATATTCCTTGGAATATTATTAAGAAATATTATCGAAATTATTATTTTTTTAATTGAACCTTCAAAAAAATATAACCAAACAAAGAAACATTTATTAATGATAATCAGCATGATGTTACTAATCCTAATCTAAAAATCATCCCAAGCATGTATAAAGTCAAACCGATATGTCTGAATGAATGGTTTAAAATGTAATCCGCACAAAATGAAATAATTATCTATTAATAATTAGAATCCTTTTATTGTTTATTTTTACTTTACTCTACCCTTTAGCCTACTTCCCCTCCCACTGTTTGAATGCTTACCCCCTATCTCTCAATGAATTGGAAACATATATTACTTGGCTTATGTAAACCCTGAAAGGTCTGAAACCCCCTTCTAGGAATATATGAGTAGGCTCAAAATCATTGTTACCCCGATTAATTATTGGAATTACAAGCAAATTATATTGCACACAAACCTAAGGTTAATAGAAAATCTTATTTATTTATCTGATAAGATATTACCAAGTTTCAAATTATCCATGTCTTCCAAGTTTCTCACTTGTCTGAAGAATAGAATCTAAGAGTGGATTGGTTTAAATAGCCACTTAAATTTTTATATCATGAGGTATTATTTATTTCTTTTTCACAATTTTCCAGGATTATAAAAATTTATATTTTAATATCATGATGATGACTTTTTTATTATTTAATCTACTTTCCCAATAATATTTACAATTTTAGATTTCTATTTTTATGAATGATCTTTATTAGAGCAAGGTGTCAATGGTTGAATTGAATTTACAATAACAAAATTTTTTCATAATCGGATCTTTTATGCACGATGATTGATTACCATACTTGTTTATTCGTGAAACGTCCCCTATGATCTTATCGTACAATTGCGTTATAGAGTTAAACCTTAGAGAGGCTTCAAACAACGCCTTACTTGGTTCAACTTCTACAGTTAACAACAAACGAACATTTGATAAGCGAATTGCATCATGACTATTACCATGGAAACCGGCAATATAATTAGAACTATTATCCTGGCTGTCTATATTAAATATCCTAGCAACCGTTATGTGGCTCAATTTTAAAATCATGCATACGTTATGAAATGGTTCTAATACGTCGTTAATTTTGGTCACGATAAGCCGAGCTCCAAATTTTAATTCCTCACCCTCTTTTGAATCGGGTAAATTACCTCCTATCAAATTGCAAGGGCAATAATGAAGTGGGATTTCTGCCGATTCACAGCTTCTGTTAAATGGAATTTCTTCGAAAAAACTATAACCACGAACTTTACGATTTAAATCAGTATATGCTTTATGTTCGTTTAATTTAATCAGATGTAAAAGTGTTTTATGAACGTCCACAGGTGTTAAAATACGTCCAATATTAATATTCATGTTAGAACGAATTGAAGGGTATTTGGACAGGAACCAAGCTGGGGGCAATACAAAGAGTAGTGGCAGACGTTCTTCCATCATACCTTTTTGAGTATATAGTAATATCATACATAATAAATATACTAAAATTAACTAATTTTTATTCAAATTGTTAAATAATATACCTTATATTTTTTACGAGAACTAATTATTGTAAGATCATTTCAAGAAAGAATATTTTCTTTTAAAAGTGAAAATTAGCTTTCAATTTTTAACACCCTTATTATAACATCGTACAGGTTTTAAATATAATTTAATAATTATATCTGCAAACCTCGGGTTTCATTGAATTTTAAAAGAAAATACTTTTTCTTGTTTATGCAATATACAATTTAGTGGCGCATCCAATATTTTATCTCGGAACCCATCCAAAAACGGCTAAGAGAATGGCTCTATATCTTCCTCGAGTGCGGGCCACCACCTTTGGACTATAATCGTTATATGAATCGATATTGTGATTTTTGAGCCTTACACTGAATTCAGTCTTAATTACGTTATTTATCTTGATTAAGGTAGTTAAATAATAAACTCCAATTCTCTTTATTGTATATAATAAAAATATTAATACCACGTATTTATAAATGAGAAATGTTATATATATTTATTTTAAGTCTTAGTTTTATTTTAATGATATTTTAGTTAACAAAATTATTATATGATTTATATATTTTTTTTAACTTAAATTCAGTATATATCATCGTTTAAATCATTTTATTTTATTATTATTGCGTAAATTTTATGATCTATTATTATTTACATATTAATTTTATATTGATTTATTGAAATATATAAAAGAAAGATGTTTTTTGAAAGGTTATTTATGATACTACTTTTATACGAATAAATTTATAGAAAAATATATGATTATGATTTAAAAAGATTTGATACACAATACTATCCACTCGAACACCTCAATTCCCTATAAATATTAAATAACAAGAAATAAGATTGCAATATCACAACATTTAAATAATACTTTCGCGATGATTTTTGCAGTTAGAATTCAGATAATATCTTAAATAGATATTGGTATTAATATAATGTGAACTTATTTTATATATACCATAGAAAACCATGTAACCAGTTTTACGTGTAGAGGAGAATAAAAGAGTCAAAAGTTTAAACTGAATTTAAAAAAGGTGAATGAGTTTTACTAATCATTAAAATTTGAAATAACAATTTGTTTATTTTTAACATTTGTATTTTTTAGCGACCTATCTCATCCCCAAAAAATGGGTCCCTTAAATATGCCACTTACAATTCAAAATTAGTTATTGTAAAAAAAAATTTCACATGTTTTTCATCATACCATTTGGTGTTTGGATCAATTCATTATACCACTTATAATTTTAGGCCAACTCGTCTAATTTTTTTGTTATATTTTTTCTCAAATTTTTATTGGTAAAAAGTCTGTTGGATTTCGCTCATTCCAAACTAATTTATACTAATCTTAAACCACAGTAAACCACATAAGGTCTTCGCCCATATCTATTATATTATATATATCCACAAAATTATTATGACTATCTAAATGATTTAACTGTAAATTTAGCAGGGAGACATTTTTCTTTATTTTTTCATTTTTTAAATTATGCTTTAGAGTAATATGCAAGCAACTCAACATAGATTTAAGTACATACATATTGTAATATTTTCAAAAGATTTGTGTTTATATAATTAATAGTTGGGATAACGATATGTATATGCCAAAGAAAATACAACTTAACAGAATTATTGTAGACTGAGCAATCTATATAGACAGATATCATGGAATATGGAACATTAAAAATAAAATACTATAAATTAAAGGAAATGGATAAAAATAATTTTAAAATACTGGTTTTGTTAATTTACTTGATCTTTAAAATCTTAAACGGTATATATAGAGCATTATAAATAATACAAAAATATTTCCCAAAATTGACTAATATATTTTTTTAAACATTTTTTTGCTGATTTATTACAAATTTTTTTTAAAAAAACACATATTCCGAGAAAAAATGGATATAGAATATTATAATCAGCCGGAAGATATATAAAATTTGCTGCTTTTTTTCAAATTGCATATAAAGCTTTCTCCAAAACAAAAAGAAATTTTACAAATTTAACAAAAAATTTAAATATTTTTTTGATTTTTTTAAAAAAAGATAGAAAAAATGTTTATTACATGTTTAACTTTTAGATAGAAAAAACCCTATTTTTCATGTAAGAATTTTATGGTTAGGTTTTGGACTCATCCTAAATAAAAAAAATTTTAGGGCTCAAATATTATCGCTCACAAGCGTCACAAATTTTTATTTAAAAAAGTGTGTATATCATCTTGTATAAATTGCTATATATGCTACCTGCAATATGCATGCGAAATCAGAACATATGTGTAAGTGTAATACCTTATAAAATTGTCTGCAATTAATATAGTATGTATTTTACACGTGTTGGAATGCATTTCCGGCAGAAATAAATGTTTCACTCTTCGAAAAAGTGCTAAATAAATAATTTAAAGTTGGAGATTAGGAAATTTTTTTCTGAGCGCCTTTTAAATTTGAAGATCTTATTTTGCCTTTAATATATTCTGGCAGATGTAAAATATCCATCCTATTAATTTGAAGACAAATATCATCATTTGAGTTATTTGTAATCTATATATTAAAATTTACTTAAAATTTGGTAACATACGTATCAAATTTTAGTTTTACTCTTATTTTTTAGAAAAAATGAAAAGTTAGTAATATTTATTTGAGCAAATTGACTTTTTAGAGTTGCTATTTCTAGCTTTATACGTTGTGAGAGCGACAAACCCAAGTTTGGCTTCTTTTCCCCATTGGCTTAAAAAATGACACTTAATCTAAGTTGAGCTTTAACTTGAAGATCGATACAAAAGGAAATTTGGTTACGTTGTTTTGAATTTTGGAGTTGGCCAGTTTTAACAATTGACAGGCGGCAGTTATTTGAACACACATGAAGACTAGCTCCATGTTTAAGCATCCACAGGAAGTAAGAAAGATAGGAAAAAGATTCGTACTCTTTAATTAGGAATGGGCTTGGTTAGGTTAGAATATTTAGCATTATGAAGTAGAAAGAAATATCGAAAAAATATGATGAAACAATAATAATAACAAAACGAAACGAAACAAAGCAAACAATGATTTATCAATTAAAGCATCTATCTTGTACATTTTGAAGTTTTTGGAATAATTACATCTTACGTATATTATATAAAATCTTTCAACCCTAACGGAGGGAACAAATTTAAACATACTATTTAACATAATATTATATATTTAATATATAAACCCCACTAGTCCACATCAAGTTTTAGCTTTCATATGTTTAATATACACGAACACCATTAACTTTGTTAGCAGCCCCGTGTCGAGACTTTTGGCGGCCCAGGGCAAGAAAAATTGGAGGCCGAGGCCCCTTAAAAAAGCACAATTTATTTAAGCTTATTTTATAATTTTTTGCAATGAAAGCATACTTTATTAAATTTTAAACATAAATAACGCACATTATAAAAATGAATATAATTTGTCCTCCTGGTCTTTTTATTTGCAAAAGAGGATATTATGTCAGTATAATCTAACGATGAGGCGATATCATTTTCAATTAGGAAAATTAGCAAGGCGGTCCTGCGCCATCGCAGAAGTTTTAGTTAATTTGAGCTTTGAGAAGCTGCGTTCTGGGGATGCCACGGTTATTGGAATGATTAAAATAATTTTTAATTCAGGTTATATTTAATAAAGCTTCATTTAATCTGATAGTGTTGATATAGCGTAAATAGAGTTTTTATGGGATGTTTCTTATATTCACGAAAAATTTTAATTCAATTAGTAGATCTTGCAAACTAATATCGCTTTTTAGCTTATCCTGATCTGTTAATAATTTAATTGACCACATATTTCCTTTAGCTTTCTTTCAGACGCATTTATCAATTCTGGTATATTGGATAAGAATCAAAAAGGATCTTTAAAGAACTCTAACTGATGGAAACTTTTCTCCAATAAATTTTTTGCTTGATCTAGTAATACATTTAAAAATTCAATCTCATATTTTTTTTGAGGATCATTTATAGTATTGATGTGTCATCTCCTTCGTACTGACTCTTCTAAACTCATTTCTTATTCCTGCGCAAGCTTTTTAACTTAGTCAAGAGAATTTTGAAAGCCATTTTCCCTAAAGCGGTCTAAAAAATCTTGCGTAGTTTCTATAAGTGTAATAGCTCTTTCCAATTTAATATTGTCACGTTGCCTGACCTTATTTACTAAATAATTCGCCTGGGTTAATTTATCAAATCAGATGATAAGGGTTACTAAAAATGGAAATTGTTTTAATTCTTTATCCAATGAAACTTCTGTGTAGCATTTGGGGTCATTAGTTTTTTTATAGGTCTATTAGTGAATTGTAAATATCACCAACCTAATCTCTAAGGGCGTTTAAATTCTCAATCTTACATTACCATCGCGTTTCAGGTAACGGGTAAATTATTTATATGGTCCTTCAAAATTTGCCATCGCTGAGTCGAAACAAAAAAGAGAATATATATTCTTTGGACATCTCATAAAAATGATTTTGCGACTAATGATAATCGTGCCATGTCACCAAGCAGAAGATTTAGGCTGTGACAACCACAAGGTATAAAAGACGCTTTTCGATTTATCTATAATATACGAGCTTGAACCCCTTTATAAACATCCTTTCATATTTGATCCATTATCAATTTAGATGATAAAAATACTTATACCAAGACCTAGTTAGTAATGGAATCGATTTGCATATTGATAATTAAGATTAATTGTAGGTCTGGTGGCTTATGTCTGGTGTGCACAGTCTAATATTACGAAAAAATATATTAACAATTTTTCCTAGAATTTATCTCCTATAAAGTTAATTAATTTCATTTTGATGTCGATTTCCAAGGTAATAATTATGAATTTCACTTCTTAATTCGACGAATGTGGTCGAATAATATTATATCAAATTTCGAAAAAAAATATGCAATTTCTTAAATAAAAAATAAATTAAACTTTTTTTTACTAAAATATAAATTAAATTTTTTTTATAATATATATGGCTAGACATGCTAAACCTATGGATTTTTTACAAAAAAAATAATGTTTTGCTTGTATGTAGTATACACAAAATATTCTTATTTTTCAAGAGGCTAAAAACAATTAAGTAAAATTATAAAATTTGGCGGCCCCTAAAATTGTCTAATTGGTGGCTCGGGGCGGCTGCCCCGCTCGCCTCCCCCCCCCCATCTGCACGTTCCTGCTTGTTTGTACAATGATATATAATAATCACCTAATAACGATAATTCATTCAATAAAATGCATGTGCGTTATTGAATGCAAATCAGCTGTTGATGCCATTTTGGTTTCCCAAGTAGTCATTCTAGGTAGTGGCATATATGTTAGTCACACATAAATAAAGATCCACATTCAGCATTAATATGGGTTTTAAATTATATAAAATTATCTTATTTTTTTTGCTTAAAGATTTTGCTTAAATAAAAAAAAATTTTCCTAAAACAGAAGGTAATAAAAATAATGTAAAGTGTTGGACGAAAAAGAAGTATATACCAAGATTTTTTGATATAAACTATCATTATCGCATATCTAAGGTTGTTAAAAATCAGAATAGTAAAAAATATAATCTATTCTACCAGCTCTTGACAAAATCTCGTGGCTTGGATAATATTTTTGGCAATTATCTTGATTTAGCCGATTTTTAGGTTTTCAAAGTCAGGTAAAATATTTTAATTCAAGTTATCAAACCCACACGCTGCGCATCATTGCCTCGCAAAGTCTGAATTTATGCACCGTTACATAAAACAGACTATATATGATTATAAAAATATATAGAAATTAGCTTAAAGCGGATATTTTTAATAAAAAATGAATTTGTAAATTATTAGAGTTACCTCGACATGTTATAAATCTCTATTTCAATTAAAATAAATTTAGTAATTAACATACGCCCTTCATCTAATTTATTTATCGCTATAAATACTTTTTACCTATATAGGTTTCACGGAATCCACCGAATCTCATGCCATGATCTCCGAAGATAATGATGAGAGTGTTTTCAAGAGCGTTAGCCTTAAATAAATCTGTAAAATAGTTAACCAACATTTCATCAACATATTTAATGCCATTCAAATCATCATGAGTCAGCCTGGTAGTGTAGGTGAGGCAAAAATAAGGCCAAGACTTAAAAGAGATCATCAAATCCCTGGAATATTCTAGTAAGGCTAGTACTTCGTGTTTATCCCGTATGCAATTATCTCTTTTTTTAAATAATTTATTTGATTCTAGTGAATAGGGACGATAATAAAAATCGGTAGGAGGATCGTAAAATCCTTTTTTGACATAATTAAAGGTAGCCATATTAGGACTATCCTCTATATAAGCGGTTGTATAAGCAATTTTACTTTTTTTAAACGCCTTCCACACAAAACTGTAATTATCGAAGAAATCCGCTTCACCAAAATTTTCTGGATATTCCTCCATAAATTTACCAGTCAACAATGCCACCAAATTTGGAAAAGTGTTATCTCCCACTTTAATATACCCCTTGAACGTGAAGCTCTCGTTCCTTTGCGACATTAAATACCGACGCGTATTGGATAGTCCACGAATAAAATTTAATCTAGAAGTTGAATCTATACCAATCATCAGAAGGCTCATTATTCGATTCTCAATTGGCGAATGTTTAAAAAATCTAATTGTGTTGTTAATAACATTTGGTCTAATACTAACTTTAATTTGGTTACTTTTATTGCTAGTAACAGAGGTTGAAAATACACTATAGTTCATAGGATCAAACCTTGATAGATGTTGGGGTCCATATTTGAGGTAAGAAACTATGTCTATAGCACCGTTAGCATGTGTATTGCTATAGAAGACTCCACTCTTGTTGTAGCATTTAACTAACACAAAATCATCCTTTACAAGAGTATAATTTATAAAAAATATTTTGTCCACAGATAATTTGGTGTTATCGTCTGGATTACTTTCGTTATAATTTCTTAATATAACCTGATAATTGCAGAAGTCCAAATTTACCTTCTTGTAATATTTATTAAGGATATTGTAATTGACTGTCAGGATACCATTTCGAATGGTTGTAAGAGCAGGGATCTTTGAACATATTAAGGGTATCATTGTCTTGTTAATGAAGTCCCATATGCTTTTATCGTTTGGATCAAGATATCGAATTCTGCAGTTTGTTGTGTGGATATCATATTTAAAATATGAATAGTGTATTTTGGTTATCATATGAAGCTTAGTGAGCTTAGTATTATTAGGTATTTGAACAGTAGTATTTTGTTTTCTAAAACTAAATGGCCTGGAAAGAGTGATACCTTTATTATCTACAAATATTTTGGCCACAAAAAAACAGGCAAAGAGTGTTGAAAAGCCAACAACACATTTATGCAAATTTTTATCAGAACAATGGGAGATCAACATTTGCAAGATTCAGTGCGTTTATTGAGTACCTGTTTGTATAAATTATGTTGTTTTAATAGTATATTATTTTAAGCTTGTTTTCATAAAAAAATTTATAATCAGGAGAAAAGTCTATTATTAACTTGTAATCTATTGACCTAAATTTATATAAAATCGCGTATCTGTTTTTATAAATAATTTTCAGGATACATAAATAAATTAAAGTTTTCAAATTACAAAATTTTTAAAGATTAAAAACGCTTATACGCTGCTTTAAAAAAAGGGAACACGCTATCACTATAATCATTTTTTAAAAGTCACTACCAATACCATTTTTAGGCGGACTGCGGCTACTTTGAGAAAAAGCATGATCATCATTTTTTTAAAAATAAGCGCGACATTTTAGAGGAAAATGCCCTCCCGATATTTTTTTTTAAAAAAAGAGAAGCGCGCTACCTTTAAGAAAATTAACTCGTTGGCAACAGATCCCTAAACGAATCTATGTCTTTGGCAATTGCACCTCCAATATCTATTATATGTGGTAAAAATTTTATTTTTAAACTTTTATCATTTCTCATGAATTACAGACTTACTGTATTTATTTATTTAATATTCATTAAGAGTGAGGGTGGGGAGGGGGGGGGGGCTTCTACAAATTTTTCTACCACATTCTATCTCCTACACTTAATTTGCCGGTTTATATATATTAATTATTTACTATTTAAAAAAAAAAGGATAAAAGTCGAATCGGGCTAAAATTTTCAAATATGATATATTTATATTTTGCCAAATAAATTGATATATTTCAAAATTTCGGGATTGGGCCTGGCAGGACAAATTCTAAAAAAATAATTTCGGGCCGGGTTTGAAAAATTAGGCTCGATGCAGATCACTATGGACATCTTATGATGTGAGATAAAAGATTCAATATATTCCTTAATAGATTTACTTAATTTTTTTACTGGAAAGTAGAGGATGGTGAGCTGCTATTTTTTAGGATATAAATTTTAAAAAAAAACCTTTTTCAAGGTCATGGTTCCTTAAAACTTAATAGCCGACCGGTTATAAGTGATAACAATTTATTTGCTTTTAGTGTTCCTTATGAGCTTCCTGTTCACAAAGATTACGCTCTTAAAAAAGACTATTTTCGTTCTCTTTCTCAAACTTCGCTTCGTTAAATATTTTAGAGTAAACAGTACATAAATAAAGAAATTTGTATTATTAATAATATTTAAATAAAACAAAATCATCCTCTCAAACTCTGTTTCATTGATATTAAGACTCGTTGGCAAAGCGTTGTAGCGCGAACTAAATAAATTATACAAATATATTCTGGTTTTTGTTCATGCATTGCTAACGAGTCGTAATCGTGAAACAGAGTTTGAGAGTCAAGTAGCAAATGGTGGTTTATCTTTATAAAATTATACAAATAATTTATTATATCAGTATTTTTCTTTAAAAAATTATAAGCAATAACGTTATTTTTAATAACATTACTTTACATATCGAAAATTATATTAGACAATTTTATAAAGCGAAATATTAATTACAAATTGCTTTGTACTATTCCTAAAGATTATTATATTTATCATTTTATTTTAATTTAAAAAAGACAATTTTATTTTATTTTAAATATTTTTTAAACCCTAGAATTATGATATAAGTCCAATTGAAGGAGCTAATGACACGCCCTTCAGAATTGAACGTTTATCAATAAATAAACTAATAAAAACCATTATTGAGTTGACCTACTATCTAAAATTAATTTTCTTTAAACAATGATGTTAAAAATAAATGAAAAATAAAATAGTTAAAAAAATTTAGAAAGTATTAATAGTAAAATATGCTATGAACGTAAGAACAACGTTTATATTCTAAAGTAGCGCAACACTTTCTATAATTAAAAGTTACTAGTAAAGATAACGACGTTTATATTCTAAAGTAGCTCAACACGTTCATATAATTATAAGTTACTAGTGAAGATATCGACGTTCCTTAGAGGACAGTAGGTACCGTAAAATAACGACGACCATTACAGCCTGGTCCATTTTTTAGTTTAAAACTATACGTACTTTTTATAAAGAAAATAAAGATCATAAATTACTTTGTTATAAATCCCTTAAAATTTTCATTATCGTTTTATTTTAAAAGCAAAATAATTTTCTTTCTTTAAGCTTGATCCAATTTTTTTTGCCCCTAGTCTGGTTTAAATTTTGACTCGGGCCGAGGCCCACTTGTAAGTTCCAAGTTAATCATGGAATATATATGTTAATAGTGTTTGTATCATATAAAAAAAATTGCGTAATTACTTAAATTGAAGGATTATAATCTATATGACCACTTCCAACTTATTTCTCTTGAATTTGATTAAATTTGGAATAAATAATTAAACCAAAGGCAAATATTTCTTAATTTTTATTTATATCAACATTTTTTAATGCAAAATATAAATTGTTTTAGAATATTATACTGCAGTTTTTTATATTTATTTAGGTACCCGTTATATTTAATTTATATACGAAACAATGTATATTTAAGGAATCTATTACATGTTGATAATGGCGAAGATTTTTTATATCATTATTTCTTTAGTATTATATATTAGTAAGTTTTAAATTACATTTACGAATTGCTGCTTTGGATATCATATCATGATATTTATTAACGAAGAATTATAATATCGAATTGCTCAGACGTTTGAGCAGATGGATTGTATCATCAGTTCATCATTTTTTTGATATTATTTCAAATTTGAACAATCTTTTTTCGAGATAAAAAGTTTTAGTTTTATCGTAATCATGTTATCCCTAAGAATGGAGCACACAACTTATTAATATCCGTGCTACAAACAATTTTTTAAAATATAAATTCATTTGCGTTCGTCATTCAGTGGTGAAAATCAAGTGCGTTATTCAACGTTCATTTATAAAATGAAAACTTTGGCTTTATTCAAATTTATAAATATTTTTTCAGATACATTTAATATAAAATTAAATTCTGAATAACACCACCTTTGGATTTAATATTTTTATTTAAATAAGAATATATATGTCGTAATTTTTAAAGGGATCATGACTATCCTGGATCTTCACGGGATTTAAAGGGATCCCTTTAAAATTTCAATTTTTTAAAGGATAAAGAACTATACGATATTATCACGTTTTAATCGTGATAAAGAGAAATCTTATTTTAAAAGCGTTTTCCACGAGTTTCGTTGCGTTTTTTAATTTTCAATGTTGTTTTTTTGGCCTTATGATATAAGATATGTCTAGTATAGGGTATCAATCGATAGCTAATCAAAAGATCTATTCAACTGGAGGTGAATCTCTGCCCCATAATGGGCGGTCTAGAAGGGTAGGGGTGGGGGAGGGGTGTAAAAAATAATTATTTTTGATATGGGTATCAATCGATAGCTAATTTAAAGATCTATTCAACTGAAGGTCAATTTCTACCCCATAATAAGCGGTCTGGGGGGGGGGGTGTAAAAAATATATTTTTTGATATGGGTATCAATCGATAGCCAATAAAAAGATCTATTCAACTGGAGGTCAATCTCTGCCCCATAATAGGCGGTCTAGGAGGTAGGAGTGAAGGGAAGGGGGGGTGTAAATAATAATTTTTTTTGATATGCGTATCAATCGATAGCTAATTAAAAGATCTATTCAACTAGAGGTCAATCTCTGCCCCATAATGGGCGGTCTAGAAGGAGGTGGGAGAGGGGGGGGGGTGTAAAATATAATTTTTTTTGATATGGGTATCAATCGATAGCTAATAAAAAAACTATTCAACTGGAGGTCAATCTCTGCCCCATAATGAGCGGTCTGGGGGGGGGGGGTGTAAAAAAATTATTTCTTTTGATATGGGTATCAATCGATAGCTAATCAAAAGATCTAATCAACTGAAGGTCAATTTCTACCCCAAAATAGGCGGTCGGGGGGGGGGGGGTTGTAAAAATTTTTTTTTTGATATGGGTATCAATCGATAGCTAATCAAAAGATCTATTCAACCGATGGTCAATCTCTGCCCCATAATTAGCGGTCTGGGGGGTGGGTGGGAGGGGGTGTAAAAAATAATTTTTTAGATATGGGTACCAATCGATAGCTAATCTGAAAATCTATTCAACTGAAGGTCAATTTCTACCCAATAATAGGCGGTCTGGGGGTGGGGTGGGTGTAAAAAATAATTTTTTTGATATGGGTATCAAATAAAAGCAAATTTTAATATGGTTTGACTGAAAGTCTTCATTCTTGGTCTTGATAGGTATGACTTGATCTAGGGGGGGGGGTCAACATATTAACAAAATGTCTAGTTGGATAGAATTTACAGAAATAAAAGATAATGAAAATAAAACAATTTTTTAAATCTTTTTTCGGTTCCAATCCTGAACTTGAAATATATAATATGCAGTGTTCTATATTAGCACGATATTCCATAGCTATTTTTTTTAGTATCGATATCTTTAGCGTGCAACATTTTTTTAAAAAGAGAGATAACGGTAGCTCGTTACTAAATAAATAGCAAAAATTAATATAACAATTTTATAATTAATTCTAAAATCATAATCTTTTAATTTTATTTTATTTTAAAATATAAATTTACATTTAAAAATTTGCAAAAAAAATTACATTTAAAAATTTGCAAAAAAAATTTTCAAAAAAATAAAATATTTTAAATGTCGACAGTATAATATGATAATGAAAATAATTTTGGTACAGATCATATCGACAAAGGAATATACCTTGAAAATGATGATGATATGGAATTTCCTTTTCCTTAATTCACAAATTATTTTAATCTCGATAAAAAAAATTAACACAATATATATATTTGCTGTAAGATGTGGGAGGTTTTATCATCAAACAAAACTAGTTGCTTCAACTTGAGAAAACATTTAAAGGTAATATATCAACCAAAAATTAATATCAATGTATAGCTCAATTCTTAATCTTTAAAAAAAATTAGAGCATCTATAATAGTTTTTGAGTTAGATGAGTTAAGTGAAAGTTGATTTTCTGGCCTAG